CAATATATATACACTCACCGGCCACTTTATTAGGTACACCTGTCCAACTGCTCGTTAACACTTAATTTCTAAGCAGCCAATCACATGGCGGCAACTCAGTGCATTTAGGCATGTAGACATGGTCAAGACAATCTCCCTGCAGTTCAAACGAGCATCAGTATGGGGAAGAAAGGTGATTTGAGTGACTTTGAACGTGGCATGATTGTTGGTGCCAGAAGGGCTGGTCTGAGTATTTCAGAAACTGCTAATCTACTGGGATTTTCACGCACAACCATCTCTAGGGTTTACAGAGAATGGTCCGAAAGAAAAAACATCCAGTGAGCGGCAGTTCTGTGGGGAAATGCCTTGTTGATGCCAGAGGTCAGAGGAGAATGGCCAGACTGGTTCGAGCTGATAGAAGGGCAACAGTGACTCAAATAACCACCGTTACAACCAAGGTGGGCAGAAGAGCATCTCTGAACGCACAGTACGTCGAACTTTGAGGCAGATGGGCTACAGCAGCAGAAGACCACACCGGGTGCCACTCCTTTCAGCTAAGAACAGGAAACTGAGGCTACAATTTGCACAAGCTCATCGAAATTGGACAATAGAAGATTGGAAAACGTTGCCTGGTCTGATGAGTCTCGATTTCTGCTGCGACATTCGGATGGTAGGGTCAGAATTTGGCGTCTAAACATGAAAGCATGGATCCATCCTGCCTTGTATCAACGGTTCAGGCTGGTGGTGGTGGTGTCATGGTGTGGGGAATATTTTCTTGGCACTCTTTGGGCCCCTTGGTACCAATTGAGCATCGTTGCAACGCCACAGCCTACCTGAGTATTGTTGCTGACCATGTCCATCCCTTTATGACCACAATGTACCCAACTTCTGATGGCTACTTTCAGCAGGATAATGCGCCATGTCATAAAGCTGGAATCATCTCAGACTGGTTTCTTGAACATGACAATGAGTTCGCTGTACTCAAATGGCCTCCACAGTCACCAGATCTCAATCCAATAGAGCATCTTTGGGATGTGGTGGAACGGGAGATTCGCATCATGGATGTGCAGCCGACAAATCTGCGGCAACTGTGTGATGCCATCATGTCAATATGGACCAAACTCCCTGAGGAATGCTTCCAGCACCTTGTTGAATCTATGCCACGAAGAATTGAGGCAGTTCTGAAGGCAAAAGGGGGTCCAACCCGTTACTAACATGGGGTACCTAATAAAGTGGCCGGTGAGTGTATATATATATATATGCACTGTGTGTGTGTGCATATGTGCATATATGTATATGTACAGTATGCATACATACATATACACATGTTTCTATGTGATCAATTTATGTATAAGTGTTTTCACACATATTCATTGAGTGCTAGGTCGTTAGTAAATGAGTGTGGCATGTAGATAACTGTGTTTAGAGTTTTGGGGGTAAAAATAAATAAATTCACTGAGTGGGCCTAAAGTTCCACTTAAAGTGCATAAGCAATTTGAAAAAACTATAAGATGTGTTTTGGAAGATCAGGTATTAGTGCATAACGCTAAATACAGGTGTAAATGGGGTCTAAAAGGTTTTGAGCTTGTCCACTTTCTACCACTTCCAGAGGTAGTCGAAAACGTATACGACGGGATCGGGATTACTTTACTACGGATGTAATATAAACTGTTTATTTATTTATTTATTCTTTATGGAAATATACTTCCTCATGTTTTGGGACAATTTTATCAAAAGGATTCAACGGTTACTTCCCTTCTGTGTCAGTGTAAACATGTTGCTCTGTCACGTTTTCAGCTCTCTGCACATTGGTCCGCAGCACCAATGATCCCTGAAGCCAAAAGTATACAAACGAGCCCAACAATAATTGTATCAATATCAAAATACTATATATGAATTACATATATAACAATCAAATATATTTATTTAAAATTAATGCAGGGCTGGTGATATATTTAAATGTGTTTTTGAATGCAAAAATACTTCCTTATGTTTCTGACACAATTATACATTACACATTCAAAGGTTACTTCCCTGTTGAGTGTGTGTAAATAATGATGCTCTGTGATGTGTTAAGCTTTATTTTGCAGGCAAATGCCCATCACAGTTAATCTCTGAAGCCATCAGTACACAAATAAACATAACTTCAGGCACATCAATATTTGTATCAATATCAAATGTCTTACAGGCTCCAGGTAAAATATATAAACCAGAAGCATTACATATAGAACAATCAATATAACCATTAATGCAGAGCTGGTGATATATTTAAATGGGTTTTTGAATGTAAAAATACTTCCTTTTTTTTCAGAAATAATTATTCATTACGCATTCATACTTCTCTGTTGAGTCAGTGTAATTACTGAAGCTATGTGATGTGTTCAGCTTTCTTTGCAGGCAACTGCGCAGAACGATCTATGTATACGGTGTTGTGTGTTACTATGATGATTTTTTTAGTATTTATGTGCACCTTCTAGTAGTATTGACATCAGTCATGACTCATGTGGAAAAACTTCTTCCGACGAGATTCAGGCTACATGTATCTTTCTAATTATTACCTGTGTTTTTGGTGGTTGTCAGTATATTATAGAGGTTTGGTATATTAACACTATCAGTTAAGAAAATGTACGTCTTTACTGTAAATTTAAGGTCAATCTGTAAAACCTAAAATGTTGCTACCATGGGAATTTTTTATGGTGAGTTCTGGCAATTCACAGCTGCCTAAATTTCACAGATTTTTGCTACAGTATATAAAGTAAAGTAAATATATATATATATATATATACTCAATTCAGAACTGACTGAATTCTACGTGGCATTGATTCAACAAGGTACTGAAAGCATTCTTTAGAGATGTTGGCCCATATTGATAGGATAGCATCTTGCAGTTGATGTAGATTTGTGGGATGTACATCCAGGGTACGAAGCTCCCGTTCCACAACACCCCAAAGATGCTCTATTGGGTTGAGATCTGCAGATTATAGCCAGATCAGCCTGTAGTACTGAATGTCTATTTTTCTGATGTTAGGTATGCATCCTGTACTCTTTATTTCTGAGCAATGATTGGCATGATACATTTACCTGACTAATAATTAATTGTTACATATTAATTTATTCTGTCTTGCTAAGTTATTAGCAAGTTATTAACTAAGTTATTATATCTGTCTTGCTATGTCTAGTAGATTATAGTGTATCCATTGTAACCGCAAATCTGCGTTCAGCTTAGTAACAGACCAATATACAGTATTGAATGGAGCATAGTGCATGCCAACTGAGATTTTAGAGCCCCGGCTAACTGGCTGAAGTGTACGGTAAAGGCTAAAAAGGGAATTTCCATATAGGATCGACCAACCTAAATAGTGAGCCTTATCAATGTGAGCCTTATCTCTGTTTATTGTAATGTTATTCTAGCTAAGTGTATGGCAGGTGGTCAGGCCTTACACCAATAAAGAACCTTTATTTTTAAGAGCATGATGATGAACCTTGTAATTTGTTTTCATTTATTGCAGTTCCATCAACATTGCCTTCTCAGTGTGCCCTATATATGGTATGTAGACTGTATGCATCTTTCTAAGTGGTATTTTATTATATCAAGCATGTTTATAAATAAATTTTCTCCACAAACGTGCTTGGGGTTTTAAGTCTTGCATGGCTTGCTTGCCTCTATCTCACTTATTTGACCTTTTTCCTCTTGCTTCTATGAATATCATTTTCATGATCCGCATGTTGGTTATTAAAATATGCATATTTGACTATCAATGTTGTTTTTTCTACTTTACATGAGTCTGTTTGTATTTGTACATTTATGTCTTTTTGTATACATGTCAGAGATGTGCTTTAGCGCTGTTATTGTTCAGTCGCCTCTGTTTTCTTGGAGGCTCTTCACTCCTGATTATCATTAGACCAGTTTCAACAAAAACGGTAAGCATGTCAAAAAACTTTAATACATTTATGACCTCCATTTTAAATTCACAGATTCCTACTAAATCCATAATTTAAACACAACTTATGTATATGGCAAATAATGTATCTCTTCACAGACGACCATGATTGCCTCTGTCCTTGAACTAGCATCCAAAACTATTGCTGTCATCCTCGTACTAATAAAAGCAAATAAAGTAAGGACTATTGGTTCTATTAGGCTACATTATATTTTACTTTGTGACAGACAGTATTACATTGTTTAAACTGAATATTTGGGAATAAAGAGTAAAAGCATTAAAGGAAATTTACATCCAATGAAATGACCATTTCTGTGCATATTTTTGTGTTAGTATGAGTGTGTGTATGAGTGTGCTGGTTTCAGGTTTACTGTTTTGACGGTGGCTGCCACGGTTTCAAGCCTGCTGCACACTATCACTGTTCTCCTTGCCTGCGGACCAAGCCATGAATTGTGAGTGTAATCTTTAGCTACATATCAGCGCCATGGTCTCACCGAAGAGAAATGCAGATTATAGGCTGCTAGCCACACCAATGGTTGTTGTTATAGTTTCAATCATAAATGTAAAACGTCTGTGTTTTGAATTTAACACTCTAAAAAAACCTTGACTTGCAGAAGGAAGTGTTGGCTTTGTGCCACCGTAATGGTTGATCTAATGAATACTACCATTACAAGTAAGTCACATTTTTCTGTTATGTTGTATGAGTTACTTTATTTTTTCTAAGTTTGGTGTAGGTGTAAATACTCATTTACTCATTCAAATGTATTAAAAGCTAATTCAGATGTATCTAATAAATACCTTTTTGTTTATAATACTCTTCTTTCATGTATAGCCACTGCAATATTTTTTGGATTGTGGTGCTTTGAGTGCTGGCTGCCAATATTAATGGGAGTTTACGTTGTTTGGGAGCTCATGTTCTACCTTGGTTCAGTTTGCTATGAACAAATGGAAAAATACCAGACAAGAAAAAGAGTCAGAAGTAAGTATCCTTGGTGCCTATTGATTCAAGGCACTATAGAGAGATTCCCACGCAAGCCTCATAAATAGACTTATAAATGGACTTTAAAGAATTCTGTGTTATCCTTCACACCCAGGCACAGTCTTGTAGCCTGGTTAGAATCAGACCATTCTCAGTTGTAATGAGACTAACTTGCAGAGCAAGTCTAAATTTGCCAGAAGTTGTCTGGGTTTTCTCAGGCTATCAGATACTTGTGTAATTCCTTATGCATTTCCCAGAATTTATTAACAACATTATTTGTTTGCATTTGTATGTTTGCAGAAAATCAGAATCATATTTTGGAAAGGAGGGTAAGTGCATCTGTCATATCTTAGATTTGTAAAGATAAAGCCATGCCAGTTTCAGTCAACTTGCTTAATATACACATAAACTTTCCAGTGTATTAGCAACTCCACACAGATTTGATGGCACTAGTCCAGATCCTTGCAGATAAACAGGTCTACACACCCCATTTAAAACTGCTGTTTTATTTTTTAGTAAAGAAATGAAATAGATAAATCATCTCGGAACATTTGCACAAATTAATGTAAATGCAATGTCACTGAAAACCAAAGTGACACATTTCAAAGGAAAAAAAAACGTCATAAGTGTGCACCCTTATCTGTTGAGAATGACTAATCATCAAGCTCATGAACGTACACAACACATTCCAAGTTTTTATTTGGTTTATATTAAGTGACTAAAAGTACTATGTGCTTACATTGAAATTATTAATTTGATAGACTGGACTTGATAGACTGGAGTTTGATAGACCTAAACCATCACATACCACTACACCTGTACCCATATCACACCTCAAGAGCAAAGAGCTAAAGTGTTTTACAATACAACATGAACACAATACGTACATTATATTATTTTTCGATGCAAGTACTTAAAGCCACTTAATATAAAGTGGGAACTTTTATTTATCTTTGAAATGTGTCACTTTGGTTTTCAGTGGCATTGCATGGTTGTAATATTTACATCCTTTTTTCATTTTTTTGCAGAATTTTTGCATGTTTAATGCATGTTTGATTTTTTTTTTCAGTCAATCACAAAAAGCTTTAAAAGGGGTGTGTGGGGTACTTTTTATATCCAATGCAACTGGTTGACCTCAACATCTTAGGAACTCACAAAATGATATTTGATAAAATACAAATACAATTGGTTATATTTCAACATTACCTTAAATTAAGACTTTTCTTTATTTTTTGTTGTTGCAGATATCCCCATGGGTGTTTATGTTTATAATCTTTACAATTATTAATGTATCGTTGACAGCAGCACTTATCACAGGAGTGTCATTGGTCAGAATGATAAATTGAGAGAACGTCTGTAGATTTCCAGTTGGTAAATTTGTAATCTTGGTACTATTGAAAGGCTGGGCAAAGTGGCAAAGTGATTAAAATAGCAACATATGCTCCCAGCCTTACACCTTTATTTACACCTTTTTATGAATTTTTATGAATTATGTTTCTGAGTTTGTCTGTTTTAGTATTTTGCACTAACATATTTATGCAATTACAATAATACAAGGCTAAATAGCAAAATGAACAAAGGTCATTTTCGATAATGTGTCATGTTTCCTGATGTTTTTCTCATTCCATCAACATTAAAAATTAATTGCTTGGGTAAAATCCAGTTCTCTGTTTATCTTTCTGCTTAACTGTCATCAGTTCAAATCTCTGCCAAATGCACTGTTTGGGTGTTTCTCAAACAGAAGGCTTCATCCTTGTAAAGCTGCATATCTCGGCTGTCATGTCATCAAGCAAAGGCTGCTCACTGCAGAGCCAATGGGTGGTGCTTGAAGTCCAGATTCCCCTCGCTGGATGTAGGTGTGTTCGACTTGAAGTCGAGCTGCGACGACGGATCGGTGTCTGACATCAAGGTACTGCCGGAGTGATTCCAAAGTATACAGAGCCGTCACTCCAATCGCTCTTGCGGTACTTTGATTTCATACACCAGTCGGTCTGCGCAGCTCCATTTCAAGCCGAACACTTCTAATGTGTGGAGGAGCTAGACGTTCCGACCACACCGTAACCCTAAAACTAAATATAACTCCAACTATTAGGTACACAGAGGTGAAACTGGTCTAGGTAAAGATACACCCATTAAGTCGGCGCCGCTTCAAGACGAACACTATGATGCGTCCCAATTCAGAGGATGCGTCATTCGAAGTCTGATTGTGTCACAGCGGCGCATTAAAGTCTCTCCTAATTTGAAGGCTCCTTAAATGCAGTCTCCAAATGCATCTTTCGTTTCGCGCACAACGATGAATACTACAGATGGATCCTTTACGGCCTTGTCTAAACCAGAATTCATTCCACGCCATTGAAAACAGGATTTCATTTTAAAGATTTCTTTTTAAAGCCAAATTACACTTTTAAAGGTAAGTATTGGGCTTCAGCTCACTCAAATATCTAACAATACAACAGTAAAACAAAAAGAAAAGAAAACAACTTAAAAGTGGTTCAAATTTTGACCTATATCTTACTAAGATGTAATTACACTATTATACAGAAATTAACCATGGTGAACATATTTAGACCATTTGTAAACCCTATTTTGTTTTCAGACTGTTTAATATAACTTTTAAAAAAAAGTCTAGTAGCTAGGCGACAGAAGACTTCTTGGTAGACTAGACAGAGAGTCCCATTAACATGTTAACTGTTAAACTGTAAAAAAAAAAAAAAAAATTTAAGCTAAGAAAAAGTTTTGTTCTATGAACACCATATAAGTATTTCCTCCCATAATCTAAACCACAGTATAGGCTTGTTAGGAAAAAAAGTGGATAAAACAATGAAACTATTCTTGAAGCACTTTGAACTTGTAGACATCTGGTTAATAATTTTCTTTCTGTGGAATTAAAGTGCATGATGAGTCATGTCAGAGTTATGTGCATCGTACTCACTGCAGAGTCAAATGACGCTCCTCCTCTCTGGACGTTTATTGGGGTAGATGGATAGAGTTCTGAGTAGTGTTAGGTTGTTGTTGGATATTTTCGCTCCACCCATTGGGCCCAAATTACAGTGATTCTCCTATTTAAGAGATGTAGTTAAACGCAATAAAAAAAATACACCTTTCAGCATAGGTTCAATCCTACTCCTGAAAGACTCTCTTGGGGGTCCTTCAGGAGCAGGGTTGAAGACCTATGCCTCACAGTTAAAAGGTTTTAAGTTAGTACGTTTTTTTTAAAGGGATAGTTCACATTAATTTTTGATATGTTTTAGCTTACCTCAAGGGCATCCAAGATGTTGGTGTCTTTGTTTCCACAGTATTTTCAGTTTTGATATTTTTCAGTCAAACTGTTGTTGTCCATCATATAATGCATGGTTAAGGGGGTCCACCCTCGGTTCACCTCTTAAGAGCATGCACAGAGAAGTGAAAATTAAACATGATTTAATTACTCGTAAATGTAAGTACACATTGATGGCCTGAGACACGAAACGAGCGGTTTGTGTGAGAAAACGAACAGAAATGATATAATTTTTTACCTCGTGTAACCACACCCATGTCCAACTGATCTGACGGCACAGGCGCTTCGGTCTGCGCATGCGCCGGAAGTGATCGCTTGCGTGTGTACCTCACTCATTGTTTACACAGAAATTTCGGAAGTTTTACCTTTCACTGTGAAGATCTAAACATATTTAGATATACAGGAAATCGCAATGGGAGACGATTTTGATATATCTAAATGTTTAGTGAAAGGTAAAACATCCGAAATCTGTGAAAAGTAAAAAAATTATCATCAAATATTCATCTTTGACTTGTCAAAGCACACCTTTCCTTGGTAACTGCAGAGCCCGTCTAACGGAGAGCCTTGGCACTTCCTTTTAGCCCCATTGTGTATCATCTTGGTTGCAGTTCCATTAGAATTCCACTGGAGGTGATCTCGGGCGAGTGCAGAATGAATGGGAGTCTATGGAGCTAAACGGCTAAATGTGTCTCTTTCTCCTGCTTGTCATTGAATCAACATAGATTTTATTGTTGATTCCACAATTTCAATATAGATTATAGGCCAAAAGTTGAATAAACGAATATTTATGTCCTTTTGATTTCTTACAGGTTAAGTCATTGTTGGCCGGAACACGCTAGCATTCTGCTATTTTATGACGTCATAACATTTTTGAATGGATTTTTAGAACAGATAAGTGAACTTAAAAATGCAATTTTCAGCTGAGTGTATTATCTTAGCCCTCCCCTTTGAATGCAACTTTCAAATTACTTGACAAAAAAAAAAAAAAGACTCCCATTCATTCTGCACTCGACCACGAGCGCCCCCGCATGGACAGAGACGTGTTACTGCAGCCAGTCATGAAACCGGAAGTAACCAGTCCAGTAACTGTTCAGAACTTGATTGGCTCGATGCGATTTCAGTTGTCAGGAGAAGCACATTCCCAGTGTCAATTCTCTTGAATTAAACATTCTCTGGTAACTGAAAATTTCAGTTGTTCTTGCTGGCTGACCGTATAAATATTCATATGGTAGTTCTATTTTTTTAAAGGGAAGTTACATTATAACAAATGAAAAATTACAAACTAACCAAAATGTTACAAAAAAAGGAACTATGACAAAATAGCATTATCCAGAGAACAAGAAAATGAAAACACAAGACACGAAAACAAATATAGCCTGACTTTTAATTATTATAATCTTATATAACCCAAACTGCAGTTTGATTGGTAAAAAGAGTACAGTTTACAATTCAGAACTTCAAACATCAGTGCAAAATTTCAGTCATTACCGCACATGGCCTTGGGAAGAAATGTACAACTGTAAGCCAAATGCTGTTGCATTATTATTATAATAAGATCAAGTGTCTGCCTTCACACATATATTATCAAAGGAAACAGAAGCAAAATGGAGTCAAATACAAAATCATTTTTAAAAAACATTTATAAACAAACACATTTTTTAAAAAACCTCTTTGGAATAAAGATCCTCTATGTACATTTATATGGTCCTTGGACACATCCAGCCCAATACAGTGATTTAATCTTACGATTTCCTGTTAAGGTTAGTACCCACATCCCTGCCGTTCAATTTTGTCCTCTGAAACCACCGGCAGGATGACATGAGAAATTCTGCTCCACAGTCCACTCAGTTTATCCACATCCATTTGATTAAACTTTGCAGATTTATCTGAGGAGACAAACTTCTGCTTTACATGGTCATGTACCATGTCCTCAACTGCACTCAGACTGGCCACTGGGTCTATTTCACGCACCGAAAGCATCACAGTAAAGACAAGAAAAACTTTTTTGTAAGCTGCATTCTCATGGTCACAGTAACGATAGAATATAAGCGTAGATCCAGGAGGGAGCTCCTCAAAACGGTGCACAACAGCTGCAGGTTTATCACCTTCAAACGCTTCCTTAAGTGCTTCATCAATCTCCAGCTTGACCTGATCACTGTCTTTTGCTTTTTTGGTGATCCCGCTGATTTCTAAGATTGAAGCGTTGCGGAACGTGGAGTACGCCGTGGCTAAGCTTCGAGCAAGACAGCCGAGCGTCCTTTCAGCTTGAAGGCCAGCAGTCAGAATTACACTGACCGGTTCAGTGGGGCTGACCATCTCCAGGTGGCGCTTAAGATGTTTCCCACTCCTCTTCCAGAACACTGAACGCTGACTGGGAAAAAGGGTCCGTAGAGCAACTAAGTCCAGATCAAATTTCTCTATGGTTTCAGAATGAGACATATCAGTTTGACGCAAATGGAAGTGTAGAAATATCTGATAGGCCAAAAAGCTCAAAGCCAGGACTCCTGTCAGTATCAGAGAACACCAAAGAAGCTTGTTCCTGTACCACAACCAGCCTTGGAAAACATGCATAATAAAGAATAGTGAACATGAGGCAAATCTGTTTGTTTAAACTATGTGGAATAGATGAAAGACACAAAAAATACCTCGAGAGGAAGAGACTGGCCTTGCTTTTGAGGTGACTGGTTTCTGCAAATTCTTGCATTCTTGAAGACAAAGTAAAGTAAAAGAATTATGATCTACAAATTCTTAAAATATTATCCATTTTACTTTATTGGCTATTTTTTAATATACTACATTCTGAATGTAAAAATGATTATAAATCTTTTTTCCAAGTAATGAAATAAGAGAATAGTAAGTGACAAATACAAAAGATATTTTATTACCTATGTTTTTGTGATGAGTGGTTGGTATTGTAATGGGATGTTTAATTGTTGGGTAGACATTGCTCATCAGGGGTGCAGATTGATATCTGTTCCAGTTACCAGAACATGGGACATCTAGTGATGGGATATAAACTTTAATCAATTAAAATTCATGAACAATTGTGACATATACAGTAAGAATATTACGCATCATAATGTGCACTTTTACCAGTGAAAAAAAATGCTTACTCTAATATATATATATATATATATATATATATATATATATATATATATATATATATATATATATATATATATATATATATATATAATTACAATATACAGATTTTACAAACTTTTGGCTTTCTCCATTGTGGGATTCTGATTCTCATATTTCAGGCTATTCTTATTTCTCATTAAGGCGTCTTGTTGTTTTTCCAGTGGTACAGCACCCGAACTAGAGGGATCTGCAATGAAAAAGTTACTTGTGATAATTAAATTAGTTACAAAATTATAAAAGTTACTTGTGATATTATTATAATTAGGTCATTCTCTTAATGATAACAAACCTCTAGATGTTGTGTTTGGTCTGTAATTTTTTGTTTGGGTTTTGAGTCTGTCTATTTCATGGTCCACAGGTTTTTGATGAATGGACATTCGGCTGCCCACTATCTCCTCCCTTCTCAGATTTTCTCCAAATGCATAGGCAAGATGCTTTACTATTGTCCCAGGCTGTGCTGAGGAATCCACTGAAGAAATATAGCACCACCTGTTTAATATTATTTGATCTAACACCTTTTGTTTGTTTCTCAAATAGCATCTTACCTTTCAAACTGGGCTCATTGTCCTGCTCCTGCTCAGACCCCTCATCTGAGTTCATATCTTGATCCTGATCTTCTTGATCCTGGTCTTCATCCTCACCCATCTCCACATCTTCTTCATCAGTGTGTTTAAATCCATCACCTCTCTCATTTATCTCTCTTACCTTCTCTGTCTCTTTAAGCTTTTTCTTCTTAACAGGGGATTCTGCGTTGGTTTAATATAAATGAGTGTAAACATTAGCATAGCAAATATGTTTTGCCTGAGAAACAAAATGTGAGACCATTTATTTTTAATTTAATTTGGCGTACCACCATCATCATCATCATCATCATCATCATCCCCCTTCTTGAGGCTCTTGGACTTTTTAGATCCATTGACAGTTCTGGATGCACCATCATCTTCCCTCATTTTCCTGCTTCTTTTTAGTTGGGGTCTGGGTTCAACATAAGCACTGTATGCAGCTAAGATAGAGGATGTGGTTAAAAGAAATACACATGCACATTACAGTTCAAAAGTTTGGGGTCAGTAAGATTTTTAAATAGAAAAATAAATTATATTATTTAGCATGGATGCATTAAATTGGTCAAGTGATAGTAGAGACATTTGTAACAAAAATCTATTTCAAATAAACACACTTCATTTGTGTGTGTTCTTTCTCATCAAAGAAGAATACTGCACAAACAGTTTTTACAGAAATATTATGCAGCATTATTAACAGTGCTAATAAGAAATGTTTCTTGATCACCAAATCAGCATATTAGAATGATTTTTGAAGATCATGTGACACTGAAGACTGCTGCTGAAAATTCAGCCTTGCCATCACAGGGATAAATTACTTTTTAAAATATATACATCAAAAATAGAAAATAGTTATTTTAATCACAATATTGCCGACCGTTTTTAATGTAGTTTTGATCAAACATATTGAGTCTTAATATGTCCACATAAGTGAACAACATTTTTAAAAATTTCAATCAACCCCAAACCTTAATAATAGTATTAAACTAAATAAAATACAGGAACTATGACAAAATAGCATTATCCAGAAGATAGGAAAATGAAAATTCACAGCAAGAAAACAAATATAGCCTGACTTTTCATTATTATCATCTTAAAACCCAAACTACATGATTGCTAAAAAAAAAAATATAGTTTACAATAAAGAGCTTCAAACATCAGTGCAAAACTTCAGTCATTACCGCAAATGTACAAATGTAAGCCAAATGCTGTTGCACTATTATTATATGATCAAGTGTCTGTCATACAGTAAGAATGTTATTTAAGCATCATAACGTGCACTTTTACCAGTAAAAATTGCTTACTCTAACATAATTACAATATAAAGATTTTACAAACTTTTTGCTTTCTCTATGGTGGGATTCTGATTCTGATGTTTCAGGCTTTTCTTATTTCCTATTAAGGCTTCTTGTTGTTTTTCCAGTGGTACAGCACCCAAACTAGAGGGATCTGCAATGAAAAAGTTACTTGTGAGTAAAATGAAAGGTACTTTTCTTAATGATAACAAACCTCCAGATGTTGTGTATGGTCTGTAATTTTTTGTTTGGGTTTTGTGTCAGTGTATCCACAGGTTTTTGATGAATGTACATTCGACTGCCCAGTAAAAAATTACAAAGCAAGCCAAGATAAAGCTAAGAGGACGAACCGAGAAATTATGTTACAGAAATATAACATAAGCGACAAGTTTTTGTTAAGTAAGTTACTTTGCTTGTGCATTACCGGAACAGGAACAGGAAACTGAGTAACAGCCGATTTTGACGGGATCTTTAAACAGAGATAATAATCAATAATATTCAATAATAGCCTTATAAGAAATGTCAGTGAAACGATTACACTAAACGGCTTGATATATTAGCTCATTATAGCTAACATGCTCAAGCTAACCAATGGCTAGCTATTTGAACAATTTCGTCTAGTTAGCGAGCTATGTAATTCTAAATAACGTATGTTTTATATGGAGAGAGATAGAGAGAGAGAAGCTTTGGAAGAACAATTTTGCTCTGTTTTATAAAGAGCATAACGTTACGCGATGCACAAACGTGCGAGAACCTGTAACTTACGTAAATTGCGAAGATTTACGTTATAATTTAAAAACGCTGTAATAAACTTGATGTAACGTTACGGAGACACAATGACCTTCAAATAATTAAGTTAGATTAACGTTAGCATTTTATTGATAATAAAAAAATACTGTAAAGACAGACGGATGAACACAGAATCTAAACTCAAACACCAAGGTTTGCTAAGCAACGCGTTAGACTGTTTACTTAACAGCTTTAGATTTGCAATGAAACCCCTAACATTATATATATATATATACTGTGCATTACGGTATCGTTCTTTTAGCATCAGATAATATTAAACGTTATTGAAGATAAATTAGCATGTGGCTCAATTTATTTTTCTGTAGTATTGAAGTCACGTTAAGAGTTTTAAAAAGCCAAACCTGTTTTAGATGAAGTTCTGGCGCTTCTTCTCCTAGCTGTAGTTCCATCTTCTTTAGAATAACCCGAATCCATTTGTTTTATATCACACACTTTTTGACAAACTTTTAACTTTCCCTATGCAGCTCAAACCGGAAAACGGAACATTAATGATGCTTTTCCACGGAGCGACTTCAGTGGAACACAACTGAACTTAATTCCCGGAAATCGTTCACAGTACTTTCATTTCATCCTAAATGCGTAAGAAGCTGTCTATGGTTAGAAGCTCAACACACAGCATTCATTCCTGCTTTATCTGTAGGCTAATCCGTTACAAGCGTGTCAAAGGAAGCACATTGCAGATGCATTTATTAAGGCACGTTTATTTTATCCAATAAAGCTTTAAAGAAAGAATACCTCAACAATTCATCGAATATATTACACGTTCATCCAATGTCAACCAAGACAGATTAAAAATAACAGATTTACAGATTAAAAATAACTTTAATGTAAGACATAATTTAGACACAAAAAGATCTACATGAAAACAAAGAAAAGCAATACAAATGGGAAAATTACTTTGTTTTATCCTTCTATAAAATATAAATCTGGGAATTTATTTAGTGTGAAAGAAAGCAAATTGTGAGGACCATCATTTATACAGCAGCACGTGCAAATATGAATCTTTTTTTAAAATTCAAAGTATGATTTGTGTTCAAATGCCCTCATTAGTGAGGCAACTCATGAGTATAACATTTAAAGTCGTAATAAAAAAACATTTCAAAATGATTTACCACAGTCCCCACCACAGCCCTGACGTTCAATTTTCTCTTCTGCAGCCACTGGCAAGATAAGATGTGAAATTCTGCTCCACAGTCCACTCAGTTTGTCCACATCCATTTGATTAAAAGTAGCTAACTTGTCTGAGGAGACAAACTTCTGTGTCACGTGCTCTTGAACCATCTCCTCAACTCTTCCTAAACTGACATTGGATGGCACTTCCACTTCTGTATCAATCAATACAGTAAAGGCCAGGAAGACGTCTTTATAAGCCGCATTCTCATGGTCACAGTATCGGTAAAAGATGAGAGTGGATCCAGGAGGGAGCTCCTCAAATCGGTGGATTACCGCAGCAAACTTTTTACCCTCAAAGGCATTTCTCAACTCACTATCAATGTCCAGCTTGACCTGATCACTGTCTTGTGACGCTTTGTCTTTTCCATTAATGTTCAGAGCTGATGAGTTACGGGCAGTGGAAAAAGCATGAGCCAAGCATTGAGCCAGACAACCAAGTGTCTTTTCAGCCCTGTGACCAGACGTTAGAATAAGGCTGACGGGTTCTGTGGGCTGCTCAGTTTTTAGGTGGCGTCTAAGATGAATCATACTCCTCCTCCAGAATTCTGTCCGCTGATTTGGAAAGCTAGTCTGAAGTTTTTCCATTTCCTGATTGAACACGTCCACCACATTAAACTTTTTTGGTACAGGTGGAGTGGAGTCAGAAAAATATGGTTTACAATAAACCAAAGACGCAAGAAGGACAACAGCAGCAGCACAAATCCATATCAGCTCTGTAAGAAAAAAATTATAGTGATATTATTGGCCGCTTCTCTGCGATACTCATTTCTCTGCGATAGCCACAATTCTGTTGTCTATAAGAGAATATTAATGCGGAATATTGAATACTAAAATCACACAAAATAAAAGTTAATACTGGACCTTTAACTCCCTGCATTTTTATATTTCCCTATTTAGGGACCATTATGACAAGCATGAATGCTGTTTACAACTGTATATAACTGCTTATAAATGACAAATACACACATTGATAAGAAACAAGTGCAGTCATCTGCTTCATTCTAAGAAAAAATACCTATTTTTCTCTTCTCAGTGTTATTGACGTTCTCATTATCCTCTATTGTTGTAGATCCAGGTTCAGAGTGATTGACGTTCTCAGCACTCAGACAGGAATCTGTCATCTTGTCTGTGTCTGTAAGGAAGAAAAAGTATAGTGTTGTGTGCATAACGGAGTCAACATTACAACAAATAATAAATCTGTAATAGTGCCACACTTATTTTTTTGTTATATACACATACATACATGAATACACACACACACACATCCATGCATATATACATACATATACCATTTTTATTAACGTAAAAAAAGACATACTGCAGGCCTCTAAAATAAATTCAAAATGTACAATAATATCACACAAAATTGAAGTTAACACTAGACTGCTGACTGCAGTGCACAGATCATTATGAAAATGAAACATACCATCCTCCTTATCTTTATCTCCAGCCTCTGGTGAAGAATCAGCAGATGAGTCAACATCTGTAAAGTAGCAATAAAAGAGCAGTTGTAGCTATTTAGTAGAGAGTGGCTGTTAATTTTAACTTTCTGATTCCTAACCTGACGCCAATCCCATTCCAATTAAAAGTATATAGTGTTGTGTGTAATAACTGAGCATAAACATCACTACATATGTTGTATGACAAAGACAGCATAATAAAACAATATTAAATGCTGTTTAATACACAAACACACTTTCTCTTTTGACAAAAACTCAAAACACTCATTATACACTTTTGAATTTGGTGTTGCCCCTCTGCCGATCCAACTGTTCATGGACAGGAACACAAACAGAGCAGAAGTTTCACTTGTAGTTTTAACAATAGCCCTGGAGCTGTCAAAAGGCTGTCAGATGACACAAAATGATACATTTTGCATCATGCGGCAAACTTTTGATGACGAATAAACGGATATCCGAATGCAGGTATTAACATGGAGAAAGAGTAGACATTGTTCATTTATATAATACTACTGACATTGTAACATCACAAGGCTGGTTTTAAATCTGTGAACTTAACTAAGCTGACTTCTCGAATAGTATTTTACTTTCCGAACTGGGTGTAGATAGCTTCTTAGATTCTGCATCAGAGCTCCTATCTCGATCCTGGTCTTCATTCTCACCCATCTCATTTGTTTTATCTATGTCTTTAAGTCCATCACCTCTCTCATTTATATCTCTTGCCTTCTCTGTTTCTTTAGATTTGTTAGTCTCTGAAGTAGCCACAATTCTGTTGTCTATAAGAGAATAATAATGCGGAATATTAAATACTGAAATCACACAAAATAAAAGTTAATACTTGACATTTAACTCCCTGCATTTTTATATTTCCCTATTTAGGGACCATTATGACAAGCATGAATGCTGTTTACAACTGTATATAACTGCTTATAAATGACAAATACACACACTGATAAGAAACAAGTGCAGTAATCTGCTTCATTCTAAGAAAAAATACCTATTTTTCTCTTCTCAGTGTTATTGACGTTCTCTTTATCCTCTTTTATTGTAGATCCAGGTTCAGAGTGAGTGACGTTCTCAGCAGTCCTTGGAAGTCTCGTCTTGTCTGTGTCATACAAGAAAAAGTATTTAGTGTTGTCTGCATAACTGAGCGTAAACAGCGCTATGAAACATTACAACAAATATTAAATCTGAAAATCAAACATACCATCCTCCTTATCTTTATCTCCAGCATCTGGTGAAGAATCAGCAGATAAGTCAACATCTGTAAAGTAGCAATAGAAGAGCAGTTGTAGCTATTTAGTAGAGAGTGGCTGTTACAGTTTTTTTTATTCGCTTTGGTACTATTTTCACAAGTAAGGTGTACATTTTCAAAACTCTTAGTGCTAATATCACAACAGATCATCAAAAGTGCACTTTTTTTCAAATATTTCATCATGTTTTCAACTGTGTTAGTACAATTCACACAATCACAAAGTATCCTTTTCACAACACAAAATAAGTGTTTCATCTACATGATTGTTTCATTCACAGTAACTGCCTTTCATAAAGCTCTTACTATCAAACATTTGATTTGCATCTCTTTTTGTTCAGTTTAATACTTTTGTCTATTATTTAATCCAACAGATCTTAATGGTTAATCAATTAATCATTTGGTAAACCTGTAGATTTTAATTTCAGCAATATACAGTATATGGATTTTGAGAACTACAGAAATAAAATGTGTTTCTATAAATATATTTAAATTACATGCAACCACACATGATGAATACTCGTTATAGCTAATTGATTTCACATAGTGGTAACCACAATTGGCAACTATATACTGTAAATGATTGTAGAGGATGTCTTCATTGATCCTTCACTTGATTACATATATTATGGATATTTGGAAATTATAGATTATGTAAATGTTGGGTACTGTAAGTGTATTGCCTAAAGTTACAATAAAACTATGTCTTTTATAGTACTGTAGCATATTCATTTCAGCACTTCTAACGGCGATTTGAAACATGTATCTTGCATTGTTTGCTGTTGGATGAACTGATTGTTAAAAGTACTAAACAGAAAGAAGATCATATTATTGTGTTTCAGTGATTAAACCAAATGTTCTCATTACATATTACAATAATCTTGTGTTTGAAATAATGATTATGTGGACTGAAAACATGTGCAACTGACTGAAAGCATTACATCAGGTTTTGAAAGAATGACTAGCTGCGTTACAAGTGTGATCAGTTTGGATTTTTGTACTAAGAGTTTTGAAAATGTACACCTTACTTGTGAAAATAGTACCAAAGCGAATAAAAAAACTGTAATTCTGACTTTCTGATTCCTAACCTGTCGCCAATCCCATTCCAATTAAAAGTATATAGTGTTGTGTGTAATAACTGAGCATAAACATCACTACATATGTTGTATGACAAAGACAGCATAATAAAACAATATTAAATGCTGTTTAATACACAAACACACTTTCTCTTTGGCCAAAAACTCAAAACACTCATTATACACTTTTGAATTTGGTGTTGCCCCTCTGCCGATCCAACTGTTCATGGACAGGAACACAAACAGAGCAGAAGTTTCACTTGTAGTTTTAACAATAGCCCTCATAAATGACAAATACACACATTGATAAGAAACAAGTGCAGTAATCTGCTTCATTCTAAGAAAAATTACCTATTTTTCTCTTCTCAATGTTATTGACGTTCTCTTTATCCTCTATTATTGTAGATCCAGGTTCAGAGTGATTGACGTTCTCAGCACTCAGACAGGAATCTGTCATCTTGTCTGTGTCTATAAGGAAGAAAAAGTATAGTGTTGTGTGCATAACGGAGTCAACATTACAACAAATATTAAATCTGTAATAATGCCACACTTATTTTTTTGTTATATGCATATATATATATATATATATATATATATACACACACACACACACATATATATATATACATACATATACAATTTTTAATAACGTAAAAAAAGACATACTGCAGGCCTCTAAACTAAATTCAAAACTTACAATAATATCACACTAAATTGAAGTTAACACTAGACTTCTGACTGCAGTGCACAGACCATTATGAAAACCAAACATACCATCCTCCTTATCTTTATCTCCAGTATCTGGTGAAGAATCAGCAGATGAGTCAACATCTGTAAAGTAGCAATAAAAGAGCAGTTGGAGCTATTTAGTAGAGAGTGGCTGTTAATTCTGACTTTCTGATTCCTAACCTGACGCCAATCCCATTCCAATTAAAAGTATATAGTGTTGTGTGTAATAACTGAGCATAAACATCACTACACATGTTGTATGACAAAGACAGCATATTACAACAATATTAAATGCTGTTTAATACACAAACACACTTTCTCTTTGGCCAAAAACTCAAAACACTCGTTATACACTTTTGAATTTGGTGTTGCCCCTCTGCCGATCAAACTGTTCATGGACAGGAACACAAACAGAGCAGAAGTTTCACTTGTAGTTTTAACAATAGCGCTGGAGCTGTCAAAAGGCTGTCAGATGACACAAAATTATACATTTTGCATCATGCGGCAAACTTTTGATGACGAATAAACGGATATCCGAATGCAGGTAGTAACATGGAGAAAGAGTAGACATTGTTCATTTACATAATACTACTGACATTGTAACATCACAAGGCTGGTTTCAAATCTGTGAACTTAACTAAGCTGACTTCTCGAATAGTATTTTACCTTCCGAACTGGGTGTAGATAGCTTCTTAGATTCTGCCTCAGAGCTCCTATCTCGATCCTGGACTTCATCCTCACCCATCTCATTTGTTTTATCTTTGTCTTGAAGTCCATCACCTCTCTCATTTATATCTCTTGCCTTCTCTGTTTCTTTAGATTTGTTAGTCTCTGAAGTAGCCACAATTCTGTTGTCTATAAGAGAATATTAATGCAGAATATTGAATACTAAAATCACACAAAATAAAAGTTAATACTTGACCTTTAACTCCCTGCATTTTTATATTTCCCTATTTAGGGACCATTATGACAAGCATGAATGCTGTTTACAACTGTATATAACTGCTTATAAATGACAAATACACACATTGATAAGAAACAAGTGCAGTCATCTGCTTCATTCTAAGAAAAAATACCTATTTTTCTCTTCTCAGTGTTATTGACGTTCTCTTTATCCTCTAATATTGTAGATCCAGGTTCAGAGTGAGTGACGTTCTCAGCACTCAGACAGGAATCTGTCATCTTGTCTGTGTCTGTAAGGAAGAAAAAGTATAGTGTTGTGTGCATAACGGAGTCAACATTACAACAAATATTAAATCTGTAATAGTGCCACACATATTTTTTTGTTATATACACATACATACATGAATACACACACACATACATGCATATATACATACATATACAATTTTTATGAACGTAAAAAAAGACATACTGCAGGCCTCTAAAATAAATTCAAAATGTACAATAATATCACACAAAATTGAAGTTAACACTAGACTGCTGACTGCAGTGCACAGATCATTATGAAAATGAAACATACCATCCTCCTTATCTTTATCTCCAGCATCTGGTGAAGAATCAGCAGATGAGTCAACATCTGTAAAGTAGCAATAAAAGAGCAGTTGTAGCTATTTAGTAGAGAGTGGCTATTAAATTCTGACTTTCTGATTCATAACCTGACGCCAATCCCATTCCAATTAAAAGTATATAGTGTTGTGTGTAATAACTGAGCATAAACATCACTACACATGTTGTATGACAAAGACAGCATATTACAACAATATTAAATGCTGTTTAATACACAAACACACTTTCTCTTTGGCCAAAAACTCAAAACACTCATTATACACTTTTGAATTTGGTGTTTCCCCACCAAAGGCTGGTTTTAAATCTGTGAACTTAATTAAGCTGACTTCTCGAACAGTATTTTACCTTCCAAACTGGGCGGAGTTTCCTTATCAGATTCTGCATCAGAGCTCCTATCTCGATCCTGGTCTTCATCCTCACCCATCTCATTTGCTTTATCTTTGTCTTTAAGTCCATCACCTCTCTCATTTATATCTCTTGCCTTCTTTGTTTCTTTAGATTTGTTAGTCTCTGAAGTAGCCACAATTCTGTTGTCTATAAGAGAATATTAATGCGGAATATTGAATACTAAAATCACACCAAAAAAAAAGTTAATACTTGACCTTTAACTCCCTGCATTTTTATATTTCCATATGTAGGGACCATTATGACAAGCATCAATTCTGTTTACAACTGTATATAACTGCTTATAAATGACAAATACACACATTGATAAGAAACAAGTGCAGTAATCTGCTTCATTCTAAGAAAAAATACCTATTTTTCTCTTCTCAGTGTTATTGACGTTCTCTTCATCCTCTATTGTTGTAGATCCAGGTTCAGAGTGAGTGACGTTCTCAGCAGTCCTTGGAAGTCTCGTCTTGTCTGTGTCATACAAGAAAAAGTATTTAGTGTTGTCTGCATAACTGAGTGTAAACAGCGCAATGAAACATTACAACAAATATTAAATCTGAAAACCAAACTTACCATCCTTATCTTTATCTCCAGTATCTGGTGAAGAATCAGCAGATGAGTCAACATCTGTAAAGTAGCAATAGCAGTTGTAGCTATTTAGTAGAGAGTGGCTGTTAATTCTGACTTTCTGATTCCTAACCTGACTCCAATCCTATTCCAATTAAAAGTATATAGTGTTGTGTGAAATAACTGAGTATAAACATCACTAGATATGTTGTATGACAAAGACAGCGTTATGCAACGATATTAAATGCTGTTTAATACACACACACACACTGATCTGTGGTCCAGAAGAAGCAGTATATGATGTATTGACCCTAACAGCCGTTTCACACCGCGAGAGTATTCACACTGGAAGTGTTTGTACAGCGTCAGACCACCGGCTCCAATGCTATATTTAAGCAAGCGTTTCTTTACAAAGACAACTTAATTCTGTTTTTAGAAAAAAGCACAATCTGCGAAGGTAGAGCTAGAGCATATACATGTCTTGTGTATTAATGTACATAAACTAAAAGAAAGTTTTATATGCTCTGGCTCGTTTACTTTAGTGTTTTTTTTATAATACACCATACTTTTACCCAAATTGAATAATAAAAAACAATTTAAATGGGTAAATATTCTATAATTTTTTTTTCTTTTTTTCTTTTTCTTTTCTGACACAATCCAGTTCTTGTTAAAACACACTAGACATGCTTATTCTATGAATTTTGGCCACTTTTTGTGTGAAATGAAATCATATTTATTTTGTCAATCAAAAGTGTCCTTTCAATTTAATTGAGCGTGAGCAGCGCAGCAAAAATATACTCTTTCCGAAAACCTCGCTTCTCTGCTGCTCACACACTGCTCCTGCTCCCGGTGTGAATGCACTCATTGATTAATATGCACGCCCGAAAAAAATAAGCGCTGCTCAAACTTGACTTTTTAAGCTGACTTCTCGAACAGTATTTTACCTTTCAAACTGGACGGAGTTTCCTTAGCAGATTCTGCATCAGAGCTCGTATCTCGATCCTGGACTTCATTCTCACCCATCTCATTTGCTTTATCTTTGTCTTTAAGTCCATCACCTCTCTCATTTATATCTCCTGCCTTCTCTGTTTCTTTAGATTTGTTAGTCTCTGAAGTAGCCACAATTCTGTTGTCTATAAGAGAATATTAATGCGGAATATTGAATACTAAAATCACACAAAATAAAAGTTAATACTTGACATTTAACTCCCTGCATTTTTATATTTCCCTATTTAGGGACCATTATGACAAGCATGAATTCTGTTTACAACTGTATATAACTGCTTATAAATGACAAATACACACATTGATAAGAAACAAGTACAGTCATCTGCTTCATTCTAAGAAAAAATACCTATTTCTCTCTTCTCAGTGTTATTGACGTTCTCTTTATCCTTTAATATTGTAGATCCAGGTTCAGAGTGAGTGACGTTCTCAGCACTCAGACAGGAATCTGTCATCTTGTCTGTGTCTGTAAGGAAGAAAAAGTACAGTGTTGTGTGCATAACAGAGTCAACATTACAACAAATATTAAATCTGTAATAGTGCCACACTTATTCTTTTGTTATATACATATACATACACATATATATATATATACACACACACACACACACAATTTTTATTAACGTAAAAAAAAAAAGACATACTGCAGGCCTCACAAATAAATTCAAAATGTACAATAATATCACACAAAATTGAAGTTGTTGAATGTTGCTCCTGGTACAGACTATGGAAACAAATTTCCTCTATTGAGGACAATAACGAATGAATATGATGTTAACACTAGACTGCTGACTGCAGTGCACAGATTAATATGAAAACCAAACATACCATCCTCCTTATCTTTATCTCCAGTATCTGGTGAAGAATCAGCAGATGAGCCAACATCTGTAAAGTAGCAATAGAAGAGCAGTTGGAGCTATTTAGTAGAGAGTGGCTGTTAATTCTAACTTTCTAAATCCTAACCTGACGCCAATCCCAGCATAATGTCCCAAAGACAGCATAATACAACAATATTAAATGCTGTTTAATACACAAACACACTTTCTCTTTGGCCAAAAACTCAAAACACTCATTTATACACTTTTGAATTTGGTGTTGCCCCACCAAAGGCTGGTTTTAAATGTGTGAACTTAATTAAGCTGACTTCTCGAATAGTATTTTACCTTCCAAACTGGGCGGAGTTTCCTTATCAAATTGTGCCTTAGAGCTCCTATCTCGATCCTGGTCTTCATTCTCACCCATCTCATTTGCTTTATCTTTGTCTTTAAGTCCATCACCTCTCTCATTTTTATCTCTTGCCTTCTCTGTTTCTTTAGATTTGTTAGTCTCTGAAGTAGCCACAATTCTGTTGTCTATAAGAGAATATTAATGCGGAATATTGAATACTAAAATCACACAAAATAAAAGTTAACACTAGACTTCTGACTGCAGTGCACAGATCAATATGAAAACCAAACATACCATCCTTCTTATCTTTATCTCCAGTATCTGGTGAAGAATCAGCAGATGAGCCAACATCTGTAAAATAGCAATAGAAGAGCAGTTGTAGCTATTTAGTAGAGAGTGGCTGTTAATTCTAACTTTCTGATTCCTAACCTGACGCCAATCCCATTCCAATTAAAAGTATATAGTGTTGTGTGTAATAACTGAGCAAAAACATCACTACATATGTTGTATGACAAAGACAGCATAATACAACAATATTAAATGCTGTTTAATACACAAACACACTTTCTCTTTGGCAAAAAACTCAAAACACTCATTTATACACTTTTGAATTTGGTGTTGCCTCTCTGCCGATCCAACTGTTCATGGACAGGAACACAAACAGAGCAGAAGTTTCACTTGTAGTTTTAACAATAGCCCTGGAGCTGTCAAAAGGCTGTCAGATGACACAAAATTATACATTTTGCATCATGCGGAAAACTTTTGATGACGAATAAATGGATATCCGAATGCAGGTATTAACATGGAGAAAGAGTAGACATTGTTCATTTACATAATACTACTGACATTGTAACATCAAAAGGCTGGTTTTAAATCTGTGAACTTAATCAAGCTGACTTCTCGAATAGTATTTTACCTTCCAAACTGGGTGTAGATAGCTTCTTAGATTCTGCCTCAGAGCTCCTATCTCGATCCTGGACTTCATCCTCACCCATCTTATTTGCTTTATCTTTGTCTTTAAGTCCATCACCTCTCTCATTTATATCTCTTGCCTTCTCTGTTTCTTTAGATTTGTTAGTCTCTGAAGTAGCCACAGTTCTGTTGTCTATAAGAGAATATTAATGCGGAATATTGAATACTAAAATCACACAAAATAAAAGTTAATACTTGACATTTAACTCCCTGCATTTTTTATATTTCCCTATTTAGGGACCATTATGACAAGCATGAATTCTGTTTACAACTGTATATAACTGCTTATAAATGACAAATACACACATTGATAAGAAACAAGTGCAGTAATCTGCTTCATTCTAAGAAAAAATACCTATTTTTCTCTTCTCAATGTTATTGACGTTCTCATTATCCTCTATTATTGTAGATCCAGGTTCAGAGTGAGTGACGTTCTCAGCAGTCCTTGGAAGTCTCGTCTTGTCTGTGTCATACAAGAAAAAGTATTTAGTGTTGTCTGCATAACTGAGCGTAAACAGCGCTATGAAACATTACAACAAATATTAAATCTGAAAATCAAACTTACCATCCTCCTTATCTTTATCTCCAGTATCTGGTGAAGAATCAGCAGATGAGTCAACATCTGTAAAGTAGCAACAGAAGAGCAGTTGTAGCTATTTAGTAGAGATGTTAATTCTAACTTTCTGATTCCTAACCTGACGCCAATCCCATTCCAATTAAAAGTATATAGTGTTGTGTGCAATAACTGAGCATAAAAATCACTATATATGTTGTATGACAAAGACAGCGTTATGCAACGATATTAAATGCTGTTTAATACACACACACACACACTGATCTGTGGTCCAGAAGAAGCAGTATATGATGTATTGACCCTAACAGCCGTTTCACCCAGCAAGAGTATTCACACTGGAAGTGTTTGTACAGCGTCAGACCACCGGCTCCAATGCTATATTTAAGCAAGCATTTCTTTACAAAGACAACTTAATTTTGTTTTTTAGAAGAAAGCACAATCTGCGAAGGTAGAGCTAGCATATACCTGTCTTGTCTATTACTGTACATAAACTAAAAGAAAGTTTATATATTATATGCTCTGGCTAGTTTAATTTAGTGTTTTTTTTTTTATAATACACCATACTTTAACCCAAACTGAATAATAAAAGACAATTTAAATGGATAAATATTCTATAAATTTTTTCTTCTTTTTTTCATTTTCTTTTCTGACACAATCCAGTTCTTGTTAAAACACACTAGACATGCTTATTCTATGAATTTTGGCCACTTTTTGTGTGAAATGAAATCATATTTATTTTGTCAATCAAAAGTGTCCTTTCAATTTAATTGAGCGTGAGCAGCGCAGCAAAAATATACTCTTTCCGAAAACCTCGCTTCTCTGCTGCTCACACACTGCTCCTGCTCCCGGTGTGAATGCACTCATTGATTAATATGCACGCCCGAAAAAAATAAGCGCTGCTCAAACTTGACTTTTTAAGCTGACTTCTCGAACAGTATTTTACCTTTCAAACTGGACGGAGTTTCCTTAGCAGATTCTGCATCAGAGCTCGTATCTCGATCCTGGACTTCATTCTCACCCATCTCATTTGCTTTATCTTTGTCTTTAAGTCCATCACCTCTCTCATTTATATCTCCTGCCTTCTCTGTTTCTTTAGATTTGTTAGTCTCTGAAGTAGCCACAGTTCTGTTGTCTATAAGAGAATATTAATGCGGAATATTGAATACTAAAATCACACAAAATAAAAGTTAATACTTGACATTTAACTCCCTGCATTTTTATATTTCCCTATTTAGGGACCATTATGACAAGCATGAATTCTGTTTACAACTGTATATAACTGCTTATAAATGACAAATACACACATTGATAAGAAACAAGTGCAGTCATCTGCTTCATTCTAAGAAAAAATACCTATTTTTCTCTTCTCAGTGTTATTGACGTTCTCTTTATCCTCTATTATTGTAGATCCAGGTTCAGAGTGAGTGACGTTCTCAGCACTCAGACAGGAATCTGTCATCTTGTCTGTGTCTGTAAGGAAGGAAAAGTATAGTGTTGTGTGCATAACGGAGTCAACATTACAACAAATATTAAATCTGTAATAGTGCCACACTTATTTTTTTGTTATATACATATACATACATGAATACACACACACATACATACATATACAATTTTTATTAACGTAAAAAAAGACATACTGCAGGCCTCTAAAATAAATTCAAAATGTACAATAATATCACACAAAATTTAAGTTAACACTAGACTGCTGACTGCAGTGCACAGATCATTATGAAAATGAAACATACCATCCTCCTTATCTTTATCTCCAGTATCTGGTGAAGAATCAGCAGATGAGTCAACATCTGTAAAGTAGCAATAGAAGAGCAGTTGTAGCTATTTAGTAGAGAGTGGCTGTTAATTCTAACTTTCTGATTCCTAACCTGACGCCAATCCCATTCCAATTAAAAGTATATAGTGTTGTGTGTAATAACTGAGCATAAACATCACTACATATGTTGTATGACAAAGACAGCATAATACAACAATATTAAATGCTGTTTAATACACAAACACACTTTCTCTTTGGCCAAAAACTCAAAACACTCATTATACACTTTTAAATTTAGTGTTGCCCCACCAAAGGCTGGTTTTAAATGTGTGAACTTAATTAAGCTGACTTCTCGAACAGTATTTTACCTTTCAAACTGGACGGAGTTTCCTTAGCAGATTCTGCATCAGAGCTCATATCTCGATCCTGGTCTTCATTCTCACCCATCTCATTTGCTTTATCTTTGTCTTTAAGTCCATCACCTCTCTCATTTATATCTCTTGCCTTCTCTGTTTCTTTAGATTTGTTAGTCTCTGAAGTAGCCACAGTTCTGTTGTCTATAAGAGAATATTAATGCGGAATATTGAATACTAAAATCACACAAAATAAAAGTTAATACTTGACCTTTAACTCCCTGCATTTTTATATTTCCCTATTTAGGGACCATTATGACAAGCATGAATTCTGTTTACAACTGTATATAACTGCTTATAAATGACAAATACACACATTGATAAGAAACAAGTGCAGTCATCTGCTTCATTCTAAGAAAAAATACCTATTTTTCTCTTCTCAATGTTATTGACGTTCTCTTTATCCTTTAATATTGTAGATCCAGGTTCAGAGTGAGTGACGTTCTCAGCACTCAGACAGGAATCTGTCATCTTGTCTGTGTCTATAAGGAAGAAAAAGTACAGTGTTGTGTGCATAACGGAGTCAACATTACAACAAATATTAAATCTGTAATAGTGCCACACTTATTCTTTTGTTATATACATATACATACACATATATATATATATATATACACACACACACACACACACAATTTTTATTAACGTAAAAAAAAAGACATACTGCAGGCCTCACAAATAAATTCAAAATGTACAATAATATCACACAAAATTGAAGTTGTTGAATGTTGCTCCTGGTACAGACTATGGAAACAAATTTCCTCTATTGAGGACAATAACGAATTAATATGATGTTAACACTAGACTGCTGACTGCAGTGCACAGATTAATATGAAAACCAAACATACCATCCTCCTTATCTTTATCTCCAGTATCTGGTGAAGAATCAGCAGATGAGCCAACATCTGTAAAGTAGCAATAGAAGAGCAGTTGTAGCTATTTAGTAGAGAGTGGCTGTTAATTCTAACTTTCTGATTCCTAACCTGACGCCAATCCCATTCCAATTAAAAGTATATAGTGTTGTGTGTAATAACTGAGCAAAAACATCACTACATATGTTGTATGACAAAGACAGCATAATACAACAATATTAAATGCTGTTTAATACACAAACACACTTTCTCTTTGGCCAAAAACTCAAAACACTCATTTATACACTTTTGAATTTGGTGTTGCCCCACCAAAGGCTGGTTTTAAATGTGTGAACTTAATTAAGCTGACTTCTCGAATAGTATTTTACCTTCCAAACTGGGCGGAGTTTCCTTATCAAATTGTGCCTTAGAGCTCGTATCTCGATCCTGGTCTTCATTCTCACCCATCTCATTTGCTTTATCTTTGTCTTTAAGTCCATCACCTCTCTCATTTATATCTCTTGCCTTCTCTGTTTCTTTAGATTTGTTAGTCTCTGAAGTAGCCACAATTCTGTTGTCTATAAGAGAATATTAATGCGGAATATTGAATACTAAAATCACACAAAATAAAAGTTAACACTAGACTTCTGACTGCAGTGCACAGATCAATATGAAAACCAAACATACCATCCTCCTTATCTTTATCTCCAGTATCTGGTGAAGAATCAGCAGATGAGTCAACATCTGTAAAGTAGCAATAGAAGAGCAGTTGTAGCTATTTAGTAGAGAGTGGCTGTTAATTCTAACTTTCTGATTCCTAACCTGACGCCAATCCCATTCCAATTAAAAGTATATAGTGTTGTGTGTAATAACTGAGCATAAACATCACTACATATGTTGTATGACAAAGACAGCATAATACAACAATATTAAATGCTGTTTAATACACAAACACACTTTCTCTTTGGCAAAAAACTCAAAACACTCATTTATACACTTTTGAATTTGGTGTTGCCTCTCTGCCGATCCAACTGTTCATGGACAGGAACACAAACAGAGCAGAAGTTTCACTTGTAGTTTTAACAATAGCCCTGGAGCTGTCAAAAGGCTGTCAGATGACACAAAATTATACATTTTGCATCATGCGGAAAACTTTTGATGACGAATAAACGGATATCCGAATGCAGGTATTAACATGGAGAAAGAGTAGACATTGTTCATTTACATAATACTACTGACATTGTAACATCAAAAGGCTGGTTTTAAATCTGTGAACTTAATTAAGCTGACTTCTGGAATAGTATTTTACCTTCCGAACTGGGTGTAGATAGCTTCTTAGATTCTGCCTCAGAGCTCCTATCTCGATCCTGGACTTCATCCTCACCCATCTCATTTGCTTTATCTTTGTCTTTAAGTCCATCACCTCTCTCATTTATATCTCCTGCCTTCTCTGTTTCTTTAGATTTGTTAGTCTCTGAAGTAGCCACAGTTCTGTTGTCTATAAGAGAATATTAATGCGGAATATTGAATACTAAAATCACACAAAATAAAAGTTAATACTTGACCTTTAACTCCCTGCATTTTTATATTTCCCTATTTAGGGACCATTAAGACAAGCATGAATGCTGTTTACAACTGTATATAACTGCTTATAAATGACAAATACACACATTGATAAGAAACAAGTACAGTCATCTGCTTCATTCTAAGAAAAAATACCTATTTTTCTCTTCTCAATGTTATTGACGTTCTCTTTATCCTCTATTATTGTAGATCCAGGTTCAGAGTGAGTGACGTTCTCAGCAGTCCTTGGAAGTCTCCTCTTGTCTGTGTCATACAAGAAAAAATATTTAGTGTTGTCTGCATAACTGAGCGTAAACAGCGCTATGAAACATTACAAAAAATATTAAATCTGAAAATCAAACTTACCATCCTTATCTTTATCTCCAGTATCTGGTGAAGAATCAGCTGATAAGTCAACATCTGTAAAGTAGCAACAGAAGAGCAGTTGTAGCTATTTAGTAGAGATGTTAGTTCTAACTTTCTGATTCCTAACCTGACGTCAATCCCATTCCAATTAAAAGTATATAGTGTTGTGTGCAATAACTGAGCATAAACAACACTATATGTTGTATGACAAAGACAATTGCAGGATTGCAGGTTCATTATTATGGGCCGTGTCAGTCACCACCTCCCTGGGGATACGGTCCTGCTCTAGCAGATAGAACCTCACTGTGATTGTATTGGGCAATCAGGGAGCTGTCCATGTCTCTCCCATAGGTGGATCTCGAGCACAAGATGATGAAGGAGAACAATCGATTACTGGTTCTCTACAACATAGAGTGGAGAGATCCACCAGATTTTCCCCGGTTGCAGCACGAGAAGCAAATATACTTAATGGAGAACAGAAACGAAGGCAGGACTTACGATATATGCTTGCAGGTAAGGGGGTGGGGCTTTAACTGGCATTGGCTGCACTTTTCTGTCTGTCTAACCAGACTTGGTGCAATTGGATGCTTCTGCAGAGGTCAGGTAGGTATGCGAATCTGGCGCTGGCCAGTGTTACACTTACTTATAATGACACCGACTGGTGTGCGTCTTTGCAGCATCATGCAAATATGAAGGTTTACAGAAACAGATGCGATTTTTAATATGTTATTCGTAGTGACCCATGATAGCTTTATTTTGTGTCTTTGCGACATAAACAACAAATTAGCACTGGTATTACAAAACATTCAGAGGCACATGCCAATCAAATACAGATGTGACACAAAGTGTGAAAAAATATGACTGACTTTAATGTGTTTAATTGTTAATTAAAATGTCACTTGCTTTTTTATTTCACTGTCTAACCGGTTTTTGTTTTATAGGATGTTGTGTTTTCTTTCACTATTCTTTACATTTTTGTTATTCTTAATAATTATTGTTGTGTTTCAATTTTGTTGTTTTACACTGTAACTGTTCAAATAAAGCATACAAATAAAATATAAAAAAGACTCGGTGTCTGTCAGGTGTCGTGATACAGACTGATTGTGCCAATAATAAGCATATTGACATGTGCCATTGTCTTCGTGCGTGTCACTTAATGTTAAAACTCTCGAAACAACTTATGGACATGTATGCAGATTACTCAATTTTTAATTGGCATACAACATAACATTTCAGAAACATCTGATAAATATTTACCACTGTCGACCTTTTCTGCCATTGCTCTCGCACAAATGCCTTCTTTATTAATGAGTTGTATTAAAGCAGGGCATTTGAAATGGACCTGAATGTAGAAACAACACAATATTAACAAACTTATAAACCACAAATGATCTAACTTAGTGACATGAAAATACAGAGAGATCGTAGCATTATAACCTGAAATACAGCAAACACTAAAAATCAACGTTGACAAATACAACAAATACCAGTGAAGCTTGTTCTTCTAGTCTGAAAAACATACTCACCAATTATCTAGTTGGCACAACACAGATATGTTGCCCTATGTACCGAACAAATCACACTTCCTATGTTCCTAACGCGACTGCGCCACTATGGTTCCGGGTCTCGCTAGGAACTGTTTGACTAAGTGAATTGTTTCCTTCGGAAGTTTTCAGAAGAGGGACATAAATAAATAATTATTCAAATAACAGAGGAATTGATAATTGTTATATAGACAATATAGGGTCACAATAAACTGAGCAGCATATACTTAAAGCAAAAAAATAAATAAAAAATATTAAAAATATTTTATTATAATATTCTTGATGAATAGAATATTAATTAATAAATGTAAATGTATAACACTTTCTATTTTACCTTCTATTTTTTTCTTAAAAAAATTTGTTAAATTAAACTGAAAGAGGTCATAGCACTTACGTATTGTTGTCCTGCTGTTAGTGTAACTGTTTTATTATTCTCATTTTTAAGTCACTTTGGATAAAAGCGTCTGATAAATGAAATGAATAAATGTAAAATAAATGACTTACAAATAATAAATTACTTAAATGTAGCTATGTGTACTCTAGAGGGCTTAATCAAGTCACTCACAAACCAAAGTTTTTCTAACATTTCCAATGATTTGATGGCATTCTTAATTTTTCGTAAACCTTAAAAAAAAAACTAAGACATATTTATAACCGATTATGTCTACCTAAATTTAGCTAAATAAATCTGCAGTTTGAAATATTTTCTTAAACAAAATATATAATCACTTCATATAACACAATCCAAAAATCATATATTCCTTACTATGTAAAATACCTTTTTTTAAATTATGTTGCTCATAGTTTTGTTTATGCATGCCTTATTCATAACCTAGAGACAACTGCAGACTATTTTTCTTTGAAGACACTCCTACTCAAGTGCACACATTATGCATCCATGTTTCAGCAATCTATTAGAATGCACACTGTTTCCAGTGGCATTGTTTTAATCTAATAAAATTAATTGTAGAACACTTTCCGATGTTATTACAAAGTTAAGATGTTTGTTTCATTCACAATAGCCCCACAATTGTGGAACCTGTGACACCACAGACATAAAAGTGAATGAAAAGAGTACTATTTCTTTTGAAAACCAAGGATAGGTACTTTTATTTGAAATGCTACCAATTTGTCATTCACCAGTCTAATACAAGTTCCTCATGGCATTGACAGTTAGGAACAGAGGGATGGTAAACAAACAAGTGTAGCATACACTGAACACTCAGGTAATTAAACCACACCTTACTTGCTCGAGGTATGCTGGTTCCAATAACACGTCCGGGAGTAAATTTAGCTAATCTAGAGTATGTTCATGGTTAGGTTATGTTTGACGGTAACACAACCTTTCTGGAATACACCCCTGACCATACATGACTGTAATACATTTGTGAAGTACAAACACATCAGGCACTTGCTTTTGATTGAATTAGTCAGCTATGAAGATTAAAAAATATATATGACACTATTTGTCAAACATATTTCACAGTACTGAAAATGTTAACAGTTAAGCCTGTTATAGCACAATATCATAGCAACACAATTTAAGGCCTAATGGAATTTGGAGACAAACATATGGACTGTCAAAGCAACAACAGCATAGCTCAGCTACTTTTTAAGTAGATCTGAAAACTTGGAAAAATCACATGGCTGTCATGAATGCTGGTGGTTAACACCACAATGGCCTAAAAGAAGTCTTCCACATCTCCCATTTCCACCACAACAGTCTTGAGCTGAGAGTAGTACTCAATCGTCACTTGCCCATTCTCCCTTCCAAACCCTAAAAGAAAGGGGAAGGTAATGACATGTTAGATCTCTCTATTATTTACAAGGTATATACTTATATGTACTGAAACACTTGGCCGAACAGATTTAGGTTTTAGGTTAAGTTTTCCCCGATAATCGTCTCATGAAATGATAAGCTTAGAGTACCTGACATCTTGTAGCCTCCAAAAGGAACTTCTACAGGGCCAACATTGTAGTTGTTGATATAGCACGTTCCAGCCTGAATGTTTTCAGCAACTCTGTGGGCACGAGCTATATCCCTAAAAACAAAGCACAGGAGAATGTTAAATCTATCGTTTTCTTTACTGGGTTCATTTAGTCCAATTAGTAAAAACAAAATATGAAAAAAGGATGTTAAAAATTCACAAAAATGTTTAATATCAATTTTTTTTCTAGATAACGGATTCAGATAAATACAATTAAATCATAGCACTTCCCATAAAACAACATTAAAAATTTTGTTTTAAAACTTAATAAATAAACCATAAAAAGGATCTCCTGTTTCAAGACTAGGTTTAAGGCCTATTCAAAGAATGATAGCTATAAAGATAACAATAAATATAAATCGTCCACACCAATGGACAATAACGTTTATTTCTGCAGTTATGTTGTCTGCCATTTTAAATGCTCAAACTCTTTAAAGTTAGATTTTGATTGGAACTAGAAAAATAAATTCTTGAAGTGTTTCAAGTTATATTGTTCCTATGGGTTGTTATTATAGTGGTGTGGACTTCCTGGTTCTCAGAATTAGAATGATTATTAAACTGTATATTTAGTTATCATTATAGTTATTGTTCTTGGTGTAAACAAAGCGTGGTTGGGGACAGAAAATATCATCTTAGTAGTCCTCACCAAGATAATGCGTGTGTGTGTGTGTGTGTTTTCTCCTATCAATTCCAATGGGATGTTCTGTTAATCATTTTATTTAAATCACGTGTTAACTTTGGCAGACGCTGATTTTGAAACAATATACAGTATATTCTGTATGGAGTCACCTCGTGAAGACTCCAGATGCCAGGCCAAAGGTTGTGTTGTTGGCCCTTTGAAGAACCTCCTCCTCTGTGTCAAAAGGCAGAACAGACATCACAGGTCCAAAGATCTCCTCCTTCACACAGGTCATATCATCCCTGCAGTTATCTGTGCGTGTAGCATAGCAAAAAGATAAGTACAGGTAAAGAAAAAGAAGCTCAGAATCAAGCTGATTGTGAGATAAAAAGTTAAAACCTTTGTTTAAGAAAATTGTGATGGTGATGAAGGTGATGATAATAATATGGCTTGCTCACCCAACACACATGGGGACACAAAGTATCCGTCTTTCAGTTTGGAGTCACTGGGAACAAATCGTTCTCCTCCACATAAAACCTTTGCACCCTAAAACAAAAATGATCAAGTTTTCTCAACTACATGAATAATATTTTAAACAGTGAAAAGTTTAAAAAAGCATGAGTGTTATGTTTGTGATGTGGCCACTGCGTTCAAAAGTAAATTATGGAGGGCTGGGGTTTAAGCGGACTAAATGATTGGAGAAGTCATATGTCATCAAAGAGAAGTCTGTTGTGTTCACCGGAAGTTCTTCTAGGTAAAATCTAACTAAACAAGGCCTTAAGTGAGCTTTCATTTCATGGTCACTTTAAGTAGCTGTACTACAGTACCTGTTCTTTAGCTTGTTGGATAAAGCCCAGCACTTTTTCCATGTGGGGTTTGCTTATCAAAGCTCCCATGCGTGTCCCGTCACACATGGGATCTCCAACAGAAATAGCCTTGGTCCTCTTCACCACTCCCTCCAAGAACTTTGGCATGATCTCCCTCTGTACAAACACCCGTGTTCCATTGCAGCACACCTGGAAAAATTTGACACATTTAACAGTACTGTCTTTAATGAGAGCGGCCCATCTGTTCTGCTCTAATAATGTTGGGCAACCAGTTAAGTGGCACACAAATTATTTATATATATATATATATACATATATACATATATACATATATATATATATATATATATATAAATAAAGAAGCTTTCTTCTAGAAATGGGTTTAATTTACATGCAGTACTACACTAGTCCAGCAACACATTAGTGAAAGCTGATGCTTTTGGGTTTGAGTCCCATTTGGGCCACATAAAAGCACCTGAGGAGTCCAGTGATGTGCAATTAGTTCACTTTCATTAGCCATGTTTCCATCCAAAGAAATATTGCAGTTTATAAACACAATCGTGGAGATGCTTCTGGGAGGGAATTTAACCAAATCATTTTAAAGACAGATCTTGGCTCAGGTATTTCAGAACAACCAAACCATAATTTGAGATGCTGTGCAATGAATTTGGGCTTATCTTAGTTGCATATCAAGGGATTTATTCGGTAAATGTGTTTCTATAATAGTTCATGCGCATGTCTGCTTATCGGATTAAAAAAAATGATCTGCCTCAATTGAGCACATAAGTTATGCACATTTTTTGAATTTATGCACATATTAGCGTTTCCATCTAGCTTTAAAAAAAAAAAAAAAAATTGAGATATCCCAAAATGTGCATAAAAAAAGGTGGATGGAAACATAGCTAGTGACAACAAAAACAGACACCCTTTGAAATAGCAAAAATATAAATGTGCAAATGTCTGTGTTTATAGTAAAAAGTGTGTGGTTGAAATAAATGTTTTTTTTTTTGTTTTTTTTTACACACCTCTCCCTGGGTGAGGAAGTTAGCCATGAGGGCCCCTTTGACTGCATTTTCCAGCTCACAGTCTTTAAAGATGATCAGTGGAGACTTTCCTCCAAGCTCCAGAGTCACCTGCTTCACACCTTTGGATGCCATTTCCATAACCTTTATAAGAAAAGCACACCACATCAGAAATACATTTTAAATGTCAAAGTCTATGTTTTTTTATTAACATATAGTGAGAAGCAGCTTTGTCATACTTTTAGCAGAACGACTGGAAAAAGTGAAGACTAGAAGAGTGAGGATGTAAAACTTCAAAGGGAAACCAAAATGTTTATAATGACAGCTAACATTACCTTGCACTGATGTTAATAATTTTCTCCTAGTTTGGTTTGTTTTCATGCTATACCTTCTTTCCGGTGGGAACACTGCCTGTGAAGGAGACTTTAGCCACCATGGGATGGTGACACAGCAGCCCTCCAGTCTCGGCTCCTCCTTGTACCACATTAAAGAGTCCATCTGGGACACCTGCCTCTTTATAGATCTCTGCCAACATGACTGCTGTGACTGGGGTCATGGGAGATGGTTTAAACACCATGGCATTGCCTAAGAAGAGAAGATGATCATATGTTTGCATATAAGACAGAAACAGACATAGGGGGAGGAAGGAAATGATAGATGACCACTTTCACAATCATGAAGTCTGCATTTAAAAATATCCTGTCACAAATTACAGATATAAAAAGCAATATTCTCATACCGCAGGCCATAGCTGGGGCTGACTTCCAGGCAGCAATCTGGAATGGGTAGTTCCAAGCTCCAATGCCGACACACACTCCGAGTGGCTCCCTTCTGGTGTAGGCAAAAGATCCTCCAGGAAGCTGTATGTGCTGGCCTGCGTTTACATAAAACATTCTTAGATGTGATGTATAAAGCATTTCCATTTAGAGTTTGAGAATATTAGTCACCTTTTCATGTTTATCAACCAGTATCCAAACCTACCTGACAGTGTGGGGGCAATGCCAGCATAGTACTCAATACACTGCCAAGCAACGTCAATATCCACCTGAGCCTCAGTGATAGATTTGCCATTGTTGGCCACTTCTACTCTCGCAATTTTATCTCTGCGCTCCTGCATGTGAGAACACAAGTTCCGAAATTTTTACAATCGTAAAATTATGATAGACATGAACACAGGGAACTGATTTTCTGAACTCTCTTTCCACAGTTCTTTAGGTGTGATTTACTTCTCGTGATACTCTGATTGGTGGCGTTTTCTTTGCAGAATCATGTAGCTCTGCACTAGAAATTCCACTGTTGAATGTCATTATTTCAAAAATAAGTGGAAATAATGCAGGCGGATGACTTCAAAAGCAATATACAAAAACATGTACCCTCTTGACAAAAGCATTTACTCTCGATAAACAGCCTCTGAGGTCTGTCTTAAAGGTGTATATTCTGTCATTAAAAATAATTTCCCCTACGGAGAAAATTAATCCGATTTTTACTTCCAGAACCCGACTGTTGCACTCTATTGACTACTACACTGTTCATGAGAACGTCTTTAGAAGTAGCATTAAACATTATATGCGTTTACCCTAATAATTCTGGCAGCCTCCAGCATGATCCGGGCCCTCTCCATTCCTGATAATTTACTCCATTTTAGGTATGCAGAATGAGCACTTTTTATGGCCTGATCTACCTCCTCCTCTCCACAGGGAATCATATCACACAGCACACGACCTGGGAACAGAACAGAGGGTGAAGTACAAGCATTCAAAATGATAAAGTAAGGCTGTTAGTGAGCACATACTTTTGTTGCATTACATTAAAGGAGCTCAGGATTTTTATATTTAGACTTAACATATTAGTTTCAAAGTAATGTTTATATAAGTGTCTATTGAGATGTGAGCAAGATAGTTATAGTAAATCAATAACTCCATGCACAGCCTGTAAAACTATTGCATTGTGATTAACTCAGTTTACAACTACAAACACAACCAAAAAGAACTACAAACATGACAGATCTGTGTGGGACCCAAGTTTAAATAGAGATTTGGGTAAATGGGGTGAAGTGATTAATAATCAGTATCTAAACCTGATGAAAAATAACTATTTAATGTTATCTAGTTATCTAATATTTATATAATTATACATTAAAGGGTTAGTTCACCCAAAAATGAAAATTAAGTCATGAATTACTCACCCCCATGCTGTACCAACCCCGTAAGACCTTCGTTCGTCTTCGGAACACAAATGAAGATATTTTTGATTAAATTTGAGAGCTGTATAACTACCACATTGGCTCCTAAAGGACTGCCTCTTGACGGCCCAGAAAGTCAATGAAGAAAATGTTTAAATATCCCAAGTGACTACCGTGGCTCAACTATATGTTTATCAAGCGACGCGAATACTTTTTGTGCGAAAAAACAAACAAAATTAACGAGTTTATTCGACTATTTCTTTTCTTCCTTGTAGGCCAGAACGAGACTCCCTTAGATTTCCACGACGCATGCGCGAGAATTGCGATCTGAAGTGGTGTAAGCTGGTGTAAGCAGATCGCAATTCTCGCGCATGCGTCGTGGAAATCTAAGGAAGTCTCGTTCTGGCCTACAAGGAAGAAAAGAAATAGTCGAATAAACTCGTTATTTTTGTTTGTTTTTTCGCACAAAAAGTATTCGCGTCGCTTGATAAACATATAGTTGAGCCACGGTAGTCACTTGGGATATTTAAACATTTTCTTCATTGACTTTTTGGGCCGTCAAGTGGCAGTCCCTTAGGAGCCAATGTGGTAGTTATACAGCTCTCAAATTTAATCAAAAATATCTTCATTTGTGTTCCGAAGACGAACGAAGGTCTTACGGGGTTGGTACAGCATGGGGGTGAGTAATTAATGACTTAATTTTCATTTTTGGGTGAACTAACCCTTTAATAGGCTGTGGTTAAAAGAGGTAAAAGCGATATAAATACTGTTCGTTTTCTCACACAAACAGCTTGTTTCGTGTCTTAGGCCAACAATGTGTACTAACATTTACAAGTCATTAAATCATGTTTAATTTGGACTTCTCTGTGCATGCTCTTTGAGGTGGTGACCATAGAACTGCATTATATGACTGACAGACAAGAACGGTTTGACCTCCTAAATTATCAAAATTGAAACTACTGTGGAAAAACAAAGACACCTACATCTTGGATGCCCTTGGGGTAAGCTAAAACATACCAAAAATTAAGTGAATTATCCCTTTAATACGGCTAATAAATCATACCAGTTGCAGGTTCGTATACTGGTTCCGAATTCTTTGTGTCCTTCGGCTTCACTCTCGCTCCTCCCCAGAAATTCAGTGGCTCCTTCACCACCAAAGTACCCGTGGAAACATTCTGAAACTCGGGCAGCGACAGTAGCATTTGCTGAGCCATTCTGGTCTGGACGGGAACCTAAATGTTCGATCAATACTTGTTAGCAGTATATTTTGTTTCCAATCAATCATGAATCAGGCTGCAATAGTTTCAATATTAATAGGCAATGTGTACTAGGAATACATGCAAAGTTTTATGCAGGCAAAGACTTACATACTCTATAATAACATACTCTCTATGGGAATGGGAGATAATGGAAATGAGTACTGCGTCACCAGATGTAATGGGAAAACATTTAAAAAAAGAGAGATACGGTCCCCGAGCGTCAATAAAGTAGAGCTTCAAACGCGGAAGTTCGCGTCATTTAAGGTGGAACGGTTAGCGTCAATAAAAACCTGCGAATAAGTAGCTGGATTCAGCCTCGTCTATTGTTCTATAATTTTCAAATCGGCGAAAAATTAGTTTTCCCCATTGCGTCAAGCTCGGCCGATCCACACCACTGCAGGGTCCACAACTGGCAAACGCCAATTGCACAGGTCATTGAAAGAGTAAGAACGAAGCACTAATCTATCTTTATGCATAAATTATTATTTATAGTTCATGCATTAATTCTACAAAACAACAGTATTTTAAAAGTACTGCATACGACGCGCTTAAAAGGTCGTTTCAAGCTCAAGTTCCTTACCTTTTCAAAAACAAACTGTTTGCTGCAGACAATACAAGTAGATCGTTCGCCTTCTATGGTTGTGGGGCGAAAAGAGGAGGGTCACCACAATTGTTTTCGACTTAAAGCATGTGGTTACTCAAACTGACCCCGTGATTTGCTTGCATAAGTGAGGTGGGTGGGATGAAATGGGAATGTTACTTTACATTAAGCACCGCCTTTGGACCACATTTGTATGGTTACTTCCAACATATTTTGGCCAAAGTTCCAGAGGGCAAGAATTGCGCAAAACATTCAGATATGCATCTTTAAATTGAATGCACTGCAACTCTCTCTCTCACATGTACTTGTCTGCACATTTTATCTGCATTTTGCCTGTTCAACTATTGATTCTGTTCAGTTGTAAAGATAATCAATTAATAAATCACTTAATTTAACCTGTAAAGCAGTCCTGAAAAAAAAAAAAGATGACATCGTCCAGCTCAGTTCAGTTTTCACACAAGTGTCAGTAGAGTCAAATCAATAATATTTTTTTGATTGAATATTAAGTGCCTCCAACTAAGCAAGCCAGAGGCAACAGTGGCAAGGAACCCATACTCCATCAAGTGACAGAATGCAGAAAAAACTTTGGGAGAAACCAGGTTCAGTCTGGGGGCCAGTCCACCTCTGGCCAACAAACACACACTGTGGTGATTATGATTCAGGCACCATCACAAATCAGAAATCAAAAATGCATCCTTTTGTAGGGTCTGTGCTGAGGAACTGTCTGGTTCTTTAGTCTTTTTTTCCATTTTGCAACCTTCTGTAAAATGTATGCAATCTTTATACCCACCAAAACAAATATTATTAAAGCTACATTAACAATCTGTGACTACATTATAAAAAGAAACAGTAACTCACAGTAGAATAAAATGTATTCTGAGGGGAAAATTGCAGCATAATTACAGAAGCCTAAAATGACAACTTGGGTCTATGCCTTATTTTCCATACTCTTTTTTTTTTAAGGAAAACTGAAGCTCTTTGCTTAGTCAATTTTATTTCTGTACAAATGTATTTTGTACATTAAATAGTGACATAAACAAAATACAGACAAACAAACGCACAAGATCTAGACTCACAAAAATCCTTTAACTTAAACATTAACAGACAATAAAAAAAAGATAAACAGAATCCATGGGTGAAACTATTCTATCAAATTTTCATTATGAATGTTATTCATTAATTAATATTGCTGGTAATTTATCATAAAATAATATTAGTTTCAACAAAGAATCTTTTTATCCTTCTGAGCAACAAAAAGGTTTAAAGAAAGGCTTAAGACTAAATTTACATTCAGAACTACATTGCTCAAGCATTTTCTGTTAGAATTGAGAGTACAACACAAATGTTCATGACTTCTGTGGCTATCATACTCTCACACAGAGTGTTGCTCACACATTGTACAGCTGAGTGTCTCATCTTTTTGTTTTTTGCTTTGTTGGTAACTACAGTTTATGAAAACTTGGCAGCTTGTGGAGGAGGTCCTAAAAATCCTCCAGCCTGTTTGGTGGCGGCACGGGAGGGGGCGAGACCCAACATCTTCTGGATGTTCTGAAAATAAAGGTATTCAGTGGTAAAAGTTAGAGCATACATTACATAAAACAAACAACTGAATTAAACAGTGTCAAAGTTTAACTCTTCCCTCAAAACTGCCATTACATTTTTACAACTTGGATTTTGCCCCATTCACTCACAGAAACACTGAAGAAGTAATATATAAACAATAGATAAACATTACCTGTCGAATCGACATGGTGCACAGGATGTAGAGGAAGATGAAGGAACAGTCGGTGTAATCTTCACCAAGGAGGTTACGGTGTGAGAGACCTTGGATATACGACAATGGGACAAATGGAAGTTTGGCCACAACACGACCATCAAAGCTGGAATTAAGGAAAGCACATAAATTAAGTAGCAGGCCATTTCAGGTAACTTTAGCAAATCAAACTACTATTAGCCTAAGATATTATTAAACAATGAACATTTATAACAAAGCGCCTCTGATATTGCAATGAATGCGTCTACCTACATGGAATTGAACATGCCCATCAAAGCAGTGAAGCAAAAGCCAATGGCAAACATCGATTTCATCCGGACCTGCAATTAAAATATATGTAATACAATGCCATTAAAAAAATTAAATAAAAAACTTGCTAGATCACATTCACTATGATAATTAATAAAAAATAACACAACATAAGAAATATTATATAAATTTGAGAATTGGAATAGAAAATATTATAATACCATAGACAAGTCTCTGTTATTGTTCTTCAGTTTCTCCTCTTGTCTCTCTGTTGAAGGCAACATTATAGCAATTCCATTTATGTTTCTTTGATTGCACTATAATAATTTAATTTGTACTAACTGTTATAACAATAATCATTATTATTCACTATTTTACTTATAATAATATTTACAACTTTTATAAGATTTAATGTAAATCTTATAAAAGTTGTAAATATTATTATAAGACAACTTTGTTTTATAATTTTAATAATAACTTTAACTATCTTACCAATTTTTTTCTTCTGTTGACGCCCAGCTGATTCTGTAATAGTCTCCTTCTTTTTCTCCACTAAAACATATTGCACAATTTAAACAATGGTCACTTGGATTAAACACATGCAAATGACACATCATGCATTCATACAACTTACGTTTTTTACTTTGTTTTTCAACCTCAGCCTTTAGTCTCTTGTATTTGTCTGTGCGGTACACCAGAACCCATGTTATTCCTGTAGAAACAAAGTAAACGGTTATCCAGCTGTGATAGAGTGCAATGCTCTGATTGCACTCTATCACACCAGCACTATTTGAGCTAAAGCATTTGTCCTGTATTTGCTGAGCTTAGGACATTTTCCTAGACACTCGATACATTTTCAGACATAACGTTAAACCTGAATTTCAAGATTTACATACCTTCCGCTAATAATGCTGTGCAAATAGATATGAACACGATTAGAATTGTATCTGCAAACATGGTGCTCATTTTGGAAAAACGATTAGAAAACCTATAATAATACTAGTTAATATTTTGGATGGGCGACAACCTCTACAGTAGCAGCGTCAGCATTACTGTGGTGATGTCATCAATGTGCGCCCGGCTTCTTCGTGGGTGCTGAATGTGTTCGAATTACGATCTCATGACACCACGTCTCCTTCTAGTGGCAGTGACCCGTCATGATGATGATGATGATAGTGAGCTTAAGGAGAAACCCCCCAAGCACTCACCCCACTGATCTATGTAATGTCATAGATCAGTGACTCTCCCCACAGTAACGATCATGAACAGCCCGGTGGCTCCCGGGTGACACCATCTCTCAGGACCTGAAGTGGGACAATCACATTGACTCCATGCCATGGTGAAAAAGGCCCAACAGAGACTACTTCCTTTGCCAGCTGAGGAGCTGTCACAGGAGCTGCTGATGCAGTTTATCTCAGCAGTCAATTAGTCTGTCCACTGCAGAATTAGACATCAGAATACTGGGATGATTCGGACTTATCTACCTCATAAACAGTTAAATGTTCTCCCCACTATGCAATATCACTTATATTTATTTGGCAATACTCTATCTCTTTTTATTCCATTCCCTGCTAATTCTATTCATATATAGCACCCCTGTACATACAAATTGGGCTATTACGTTTATATTTATACTAGGGCTATCAAACGATTAATCACATCCAAAATAAGAGTTTGTGTTTACATAATATATGTGGGTGCACTGTGTATAATTGTTTTGTATATATATATATAAATACACACCCATTGTATATTTAAGAAAAAAATATTATTTATATATAAAATATTATAATATAAATTATATATAAATCTCTATACAGCATATACATATTTCCTAAATATATACAAGCATGGGTGTGTATTTACAGTATATATATAAAATAATAATACACAGTGCACCCACATATATTATGTAAACACAAACTTTTATTTTGGATGCGATTAATCGCGATTAATCGTTTGACAGCCCTAATTTATACATGTGTCTTATTTACATAAATCTTTATTTTATTGTGTTACAATGTACTGTTGTTGTATTTGTACTGTAAGCTTCTTCTGTCTCCAAAACAAAATCCTTGTGTGCAAGCATAATTTGTAATAAAGCTCTTTTTGATTCTGATTTTTTAATTATTATTAGTTTTTAAATAACCATTTAGGCTGTTACAAGGTAAGTTATATATCCACATTGAAACAAATATTGTAGTTGTGAGCCTGTGCTCTCGTTTAATTGTTTTATATATATATATATATATATATATATATATATATATATGATGACACTTTATTCAGGCTATACCTAATTTTTTCTCAATGTGCATTGTTACATTGAGTTATATTATTAACAATTCACTCTCTCATAGACAAATATAAAGTCGGTAGGACTCTAGTGTACTGCGGTTGTTAAAAGGATTTGATTAAAAAACAATTTGATTAAAAAACAATAAGAATACAAGGTACTGCCAGATATTTGTGGATAGTTCACAAATACAGAGTAGCCTACACATTGTTCTTTTTCATTAATTGTTTTCTTTCATACTGTTTTCGTCTGCTTAAATTTTGCTGGCGGGTTCCATTCTGACAACTTGCCCCATAATATATTTAATAATATTATACGATCTATCTATCTATCTATCTATCTATCTATCTATCTATCTATCTATCTATCTATCTATCTATCTATCTATCTATCTATCTATCTATCTATCTATCTATCTATCTATCTATCTATCTATCTATCTATCTATCTACTATTAGAGGTTAATAACTACTATTAAACCTGAGGTTTTCAAACTTTTCATACTTTCTTACAATCTGGATATCTAAGAATTCCAACCAACAAATGTAATTGCACACACAAAGGGCAAAGGAAAAGGATAGACACAATTGAAAGGAAGGGGAGGGGGAGGAGGAGCCGGTGCTTGCCGTGGTAAAAGCAGCTCTGAGTCTCAGAGCGCACTGACAGCATGGCAGGAGACAGCGACAGCAAGTTGGACAACCAAGCCGAAAATGAGCATGTTGTCAGGCAACCTTTCCTCATCGGGGTAGCCGGCGGCACTGCCAGCGGCAAGGTTGGCATTCTGCTTTACCTTACATGAAATTTAGTTATCGTTTGATTTTGCGTTTGTCACAGAGATGAGATGAGCGCACACTGACCGCGTGGCTCATTGTCACGGAATCATCAGTGTGAAAATGTATTTTATTCCCCGAGATGGTTTGACAGGTCCGATGCAAAAACGGGCATGTAGACTTTTAGCATGTAAGTGATCTTATTTTTAATTGTTTTTTTTTTTTAAATCAAGTTAACGTATTTAGACGAAATAAAAAAACGAATAGGTACATTATGGTAGGCTATTTTAAAACTAAAATACACGTACTGTGAGAATATATTGAGTAGTTTATATCCCTTAAAAACAATATGTTGGTCATTTCCCTGTTTAGACAGCTCCCACACACCATCGCCATGCAAACCATCGCGATGGTGGACGTATACCAACTTATTAAAAGCATTTAATCGTTACTATTATTTTCTTTTGAAGTGCTCAAGAGCCAGTTTAATTAATTTGCGAAAAGTAACAGGATTGTTGTGGATCAGGCGTTGTTGTAGGCTATCGAAGCAAAATACCACTGTCTTTGTTGTTAGAAAACAGCATGAAACTTGCGCCGGGTAAATCACCAATCGCTCTGACATTCCATCAGATTCAGTTAAATCTCATCCGCTGGCGAACAACCTAATTACAGTTTCACTTTACGTGGTGTGAGGAAAGTCTAACTTATATGTGAATGAATGAAGCATTGTCCGCTAGGATAACAGTTATAGCCTACCTACAAGCACAAAGAACGGTCTTTGTTTCATGGGCTAATGGTGTGTGTGATATCAGAGAATGAGATAACAGGTTCTACATATGTGTAATTGGCGTTAAACGTAAATAACTCCTGAATGTGGACGATTAAGAAGAATAATAGCGGAGCTTTTGTTGGTTATCGTTATTGGGGTCAGCGGCATGTGTCACATCTTCATTTACGTGCGTAGAGGCGGCGTGCGTCCTTACGCAGTGACACGTCAAGACAGCTGCTCCAATGAAGAAGTGTTTGTTTTCAGTTTGTTTTAGTTGACATCTTAAATATTAATAGATTTTATTTTCCAGTAGTGTTTTTTGTGTAGGGAATAAATAATATTATAACTGTTAAGTTAAAGTAAAATGCTACAATAAAAATGATTAAAGTTACAATGCCACTCTACAATATCACAGAGAGAGAGAGAGAGCGAGAGAGAGAGAGAGAGAGAGAGAGAGTGTGTAACTGATGTAAATTCATTTTTGAATGACAAAAGTTATATACATATTGCTTTTAATATTTTTGTCATATTTTTTATGTAGCCTATGGAAGCCAATGTTTTTTTTTTTAACATGCTTTTAGGCTGAATTATAATTATGTTGACTGACTTAGTATGCCAATTTCTTCTTTTTATTTTATAATTATGATTTTAGTATTTCATTTTCATTCTACTTCTTAATGTCATAATTCTGACTTATTTCATAATTTAGATTTATGTCATTATTGTTTCATAATTTCAATTTATTATGACTTGGTAGCATGTCATAATCTAGACTTTAGTGTTATGTTTTGTGTGCAGGATTTTGTGTTGTGAATGTGTGGGTAACAGTTTTTATGTTATTATTGGCCCTAGTTGCTGGAAAGACCAACGGTGATGAAGTTTAAGTCACCTTTTTTTAATTACATTGTATTAAATCACCACTATGTTTAGTCATAATTTAAATGGTCTCTGTACATGACTTGTCTGTTCCTTTCTTCCGTTAGCTTATCTTATTGCTTATGTTGTGACTGCAATATCTCCCAGCTGTCAGGTGTGCAGGTTTCTCTCTACCGCACTGCTGGAGAACGTGTAGTCTGTTTTCTCAGTGAAAATCCTTTGACTGTATAGACGCCCTCAAGCAGTATCTTATCATTCCTTTGGCCATGTAGACACTCAATGTTTTGCCCAGTGCTGATATGTTATGCTCTCCTCTCAGTGTGCTGTTTTAGGACACCAGCTTGTTTACATCCAGGATCTGCTGTAGAAAGCTTCTGTCAGGCTCTGTTTAATGCAGCCATTTCTTTGCATTGAGAGTATACATCATACAACCCACTTTAAGTGCACAAGACTAGCTTGTTAGGTACACAAAAAATGCTTGGGAATTAAAGTCTGCATGAAACAGAAGTTTCTATAGTCTATTCTTTCATATTGTTGTGACGTAGAAGTGAAATGGCTTTTTCAAACAAGAAAACAATGTAGGTGGGACTTAATTTTGACCATCATGATTGGATTGGATTGTTGTTGGATTGTTTGCTATTGGTGATGATCTCATGTGAGTGACAGGTTATCCTGCCCTCAACACCGTCAAACAAGCTGAAAAAGGCCATTGAGCATGTGAACTGGTTGGAAGCTACTTTGGCTTGAAGTTCATAGATCTTGGGCACAGACCTGTACCATAAAATGTCAAAGTAGTGTTTGAGCTCTTTTTTTCTCCTTTTTGCAAGACTTTAACACAGTGGAAAACTAATGGTAGCAAATGGAACCTTGTTAAATTCCTTGAATTAACCTTGCTAATTCTCACAAAAAAACTATATGCAACACAAAGTTAATGCAATGAATGTGTTTGAGCAGAGCTGTGATAATTTTTTTGTGTGAGTGACAAAAGTCAGTGCTTTCCGTAACTCTTAAGTCAGAAATGCATTCTGTTTTGAAAAACATGAAGGCCTTGAAGCAGAGGATGTCATGCTTGGTGTATATGTGTGTAGCTTCTTATATAGGGCTTGAGACAGCTTGAACTGTTTGTAGATTATGCTTTAAATGGATTGAGGGATATAGAGATATAGCAGGGTTTCATCAGACTCCGCAGGATTCAGTTGGAGATGCCTGCACTGCGGGCTGTCTCTTATTGGCGTGTGGTTGTGTCTTTAGTCTTTACATGATCTGCTAATCTGAGCTCATCGCATGTAGTTTTGAGTGTTCTAGAGATCGACCTATATATTGACTTTTTTAATTGTTACGAATTTTGAATATTTATGTACCCGATAATCGATATATAGAACCGATACATATTATTTCTTTTTTTGACAGTTATAACAGCACTGAACTGAACAAAACTGTCTTAAACTTTTTAACATTTTTAACATAACAAAACACACTTAGTAAATAAAGGGATTGAAAGAGTGCAAAAAATAAAAATGGTGAATTATCGGTGAATCCGATGTAACAAAACCGCTACGTGATAATGGAAACATGCTTACTGGTAAATATTGGGAAAATATCAGCAAAACTGATTATGGGTCGTTCACTTAGTTATATCTGGTCTTTCATAATAGTAGCTTTTATTAGTCTCTTCAGTGTCATACATCAAACGACTTTGTGTCTAAGTTTAGTCATTTTTGCATAGTGTGTATGAACCCTTTCTGAATTGAGGATGTTCTCTAGAGTATTAAAATTTCTCATAAGTCAGCAATTTGAAAAGGTACAATATAGACCTTGTACATTTTAATGCTATTTCTCTCTCTTTTGTGCTGGGCTCATCAGATTGTCAGATTTCATCCTTCCTCCGTATCTTGTAATGTATCATATGACAGTGTATAAGACAGCCTTGGGTAATATAGATCCGTTTTTATGAAGATAGTCAGTGTACTAGACATTTTCAAGGTGCTGCTGAAATCTTTGTGACAATGTGAACAAACACCTGTGTGTTTTCGTAACTGATCATGGTTTGTGGGTTTTTTTTTGTACAGGGTGTCACCTGTTTCTCTCTCTCTCTGTGTGTGTGTGTGTGTGTGTGTGTGTTGGTAGGTTATAGTCCTTGCTCTGTTTTATAGTTTTAATAGGCATGTATATTATTATATCATCAGAGCAAGGCATTTATAGATCGAAGAAATACAGTCCTTTGTTTATGCCTTGAATGTGGGTGGTGTGATTTTACTTTTGAAATTAATGACAAAGATTTTTTTGTGATATTTATATTTAATGTATCTTATTGTTTTGTGTCAAAAAGTCACTAACAATACTCAAACTTTGTTGAATTAGCCTTAAAGTCACATGAAACTGAAGTTGCTATGGTATTTGCTTCCCTAGTGTTATGTAAATCCGGGTGAGACTTCTTTAGAACAATAAAAAATGTAGGTGTGGGACTTAATTTTATCCATCAGAAATTGATTGGATCGTTGTGGTTTGTCTTTGCTCTGATCTCATGTGAGGGACAGGTTGTCCCGCCCTCGAGCCAGTAAACACGTCAGCATAGAAGGGGGAGGGGAAGTTATTTAGATTAAAGATTATGGGCACGTTTTTAAAAAGAAATGATGATGTGCTTCGATAAATCATTATAATAATACTGCAATGTTCCATAAAAATAAGAATCATTTTTTATTTCATGGTGACCTTAAATACTGTACTTTAAATACTCAATGTAACACTGTATCAGTTCTTAGTTCATTCATGTTTTGACTTGATGAAGTTAATGATGTACGGTTCAGTGAGTGAGTGAGTGAGTCAAATTAATCCAACTGATTTAATGCAAACTAAATTGCTCAAAGTCTGAGGATGAGGTGTCGGAACTGTCAATAAAATAAACGATGTCCTCCCGAATGGAACTGAACACCATGAAAATAATTAATATATTATTATTTAGATCTGAATACAAAACCATTATCAGTTCCGTAATCAAGTTTAGTAGCCACCCACAGGAATTACACACTTAACCTTGAATTTTTTGCCATTTTGTCAAAATTTCAGTTTTAATGAAGATTACTAACTGAACCGTGCTGTTAAAGTACATATGTGCTGAACTACAATCCTTTCTTAATTTTTTTTTAGTCATCAGTTTGTGGGAAGATTATGGAGCTCCTTGGCCAGAATAAGATCGACCATCATCAGAGGCAGGTGGCCATCCTCAGTCAGGACAGTTTCTACAGAGTACTGACCTCCGAACAAAAGGCCAAGGCTCTAAAAGGACAATTTAACTTTGACCACCCAGGTAAATGAGCTTGAAAAGCTCATGTTACATTGATATAATTTTAGCTTAAATTATTTCAAATTATTAATTACTAATTTATGGTTCTGTATGTGTGCTTTTTGTATTGTGAGAGTGTGTGAGTGACTGCCTGACTCAGCCACCCTCATACATACTCATTCTGCAGCTGCACAAGTGGTTTATCACCTTTTTGCTGTTTCTCGATTTCCACGTCCTGTGGATCAGTAAACCTTAGAACAAATTCTTTGTTGTCTCACTGACCTTCTTTCACTCAATCTTGCAGATGCGTTTGATAATGAGTTGATAGTCAAAACCCTGTGTGATCTCATGGAGGGAAGAACGGTCCAAATTCCAGTCTACGACTTTGTTACCCATTCAAGGTCAGTTCAGACCACATTTGAACAGTTTAGATAGCTTAAAGAGATAGTTCACTCAACTAATATTTCTGAGGAAATTCATCATTACTACAAACCCATAAGCCTTTGGTTGGTCTTCGAAACACAAAAAGCTTAAATTAAATCTTGTCTTGGATTAAACATTATATTCAAATTGCAAACACGAGGAGAGCATGAAAGACCGACAACTGGCAGATGAACGTGCTATCCGAAACGGTAGGAAATAAAATTAGATAGAATGGAGGATTTTAACTGTGACAAGATGATTGACAGGATGCACGCAGCAGCCGACAGAGTTGTCCGTTGAAGATGACGTGATAGTATGCCCCAAAGCTTGCCTACTCTTTCGCTACACACTCAAAAGTATGTACTTTTTCCTCACAAAAATAGTACATACTTTTAGGGCGTAGTAAGCGAGTATAAGCGTAGTATAAGTTCCTGGCGGCACACCAACACTGCACGCATTCTTTGTCTCCCTAATCAAACACACCCGATTCAACTCATCAGCTCATTAAACCATCTGATTATGAGCTGATGAGTTGAATCAGGTGTGTTTGGTAAGGGAGACAAAGAATACGCGCAGTGTTGGTGTGCCGCCAGGAACAGGGTTGGGAAACACTGTTCTAAGTTTCCTAGGTTAAACCTCCTAGGTTTCATTAAAAATATTATTATTTGTGTTTTGAAGTTTAACCAAAGTCATACATGTCTGGAATGACATGAGGGTAAATGATGGCAGAATTTTCATTTTTGGGTGAATTAACCCTTTAACCTATTATAATTGTATTGTTTTTATGTGTGAATATGTTTATTTTCATATGAGAACCACACATGAAAGCAGTGTGTAAGAAGCATGTGTTAATTCTGCTGCGCATATTGAGTGGTTCCAGGAAAGTAGCAGTTTCAATACTAATTTTAACTGCTGTTTCTTGGCTTACACTACTTGAGTGCAATGTGAAACAGGCCTTATCTTGATGTTACATAATCTGTTTGTTCAGGTATTTCCTGCATCCTGAAACACTTTTGTTTTCCTTACACATATGCAGGAAAGAAGAGACGGTTGCTGTTTATCCAGCAGACGTGGTTTTATTTGAAGGCATTCTTATGTTTTATTCGCAAGAAATCCGAGATCTGTTTCAGATGAAACTGTTTGTGGATACGGATGCAGATACACGCCTGTCACGCAGAGGTGTGTGTGGATGTCATCAAGATCAATGGATCTCAAAAAAAAAAAACATTTATAATGTTCTTTCATAATCGCTCTTTCTCATCTCTTTCCCCTCTGCACATAGTCCTGAGAGACATCAGTGAGAGAGGCCGTGACCTAGAGCAAGTGCTAAGCCAATACATAACTTTTGTTAAGCCTGCCTTCGAGGAGTTCTGTCTGCCAGTAAGTTTTACACTCTCTGCCATGTATGCTGACCTACTATTTGGAATTAGTAGTTTTTATTTATGCATGTATGCGTTTATTAATTAATGTTGTTTACTTTATCAATTTACATATGCACGCACGCTACTGCTTGTCATGTTTTTGAAAGAAGTGCTCTTGTGCTCACTCAGACTGAGAAATACAGAAATTGGATCAAAAACAGTAATATTGTGATATGATACAATGAATTGCAAAACAACCTTACATAGGTTTTTTTTTTAGTAAATGGTCCTTCTGTTTTGTGTTTATATAAATGGAGATTAAATATTTCAATTTAATCTAAATATTAATAATGGAGAATAAACATTTTAATTTATAGAATAGATTTAAGGACCCTTTATTAGCTCCATTTTTTTCATTGATACATGTATCCAATATAAGTCTTTCAGGTTTTGTGAGAATGTATTTCGTGAGAATGAGGAAACAGGTTGTGAAATATTTGCCCAGTGGACTATTGTTGTTGATTGTTATATAGAGTTTTTCTTTTCAGGGCTTATCTTAATTATTATTTTTTTTTTCCCCTAGACAAAAAAGTATGCTGATGTCATCATTCCAAGGGGAGCTGATAATATGGGTGAGATTTTAGATTTTACCATTGAATAGAGAAGATACAAATACCTGGAAATGCAAATGTTTTGGAACGGTTTATCATATACATAATATTGTTTTGAAAATAGGAATGTTCAAGGGTGCCTATCAAGGCCAGCTCTCCAAAACACAAAATAATTGTATCACTTGTTTCACATGAACGAGACATAGAAGTAGGCCAACTTCTAGTGCATATGAAACAAGTGAAAATGTTTTTTTTTTTTTTTTTAAATGTGTGTGTGTGTATATATATATATATATATACACACTCCCCAACAAACTGTCATAAAAATTGTTTACTAAGCATAATAAAACTGTTTAAATAAACTTGTAAACAAACCATGTAAAGTGGTTTTACATCACTTTAAATCACTTGCATGACAGTGATCTCTCTCTCTCTCTCTCTCTCTATGTCTCTAGTTGCCATAAATTTGATAGTGCAGCACATTCAGGATATTCTGAATGGTGGCTTGAACAAACGCTTGAATGGATACCTCAACGGCCACAACACTCCGCGTAAACGGCATCCCTCAGAGTCCAGCAGCAGGCCACATTGACCAGCTCTATACCGGGACTTCAGGGAATGCAGGAGAGAATGAATGTTTGAAGGATGGATGCTAGAGGAAAGAAAGGATTGGAGTGCATTTTGTTAATTAGCCAACATTATATAAGACAAAAAGAATCACAAAAATTTCAAGAATTTCAAAGACTGCCTTTTATTTCATTCTATTTCCTCCTTTGTTTTTTTTTGTTTTTTTGTTTTATGGACTGGCTACACTTGATGTTTTAGGAGTTACAAAGATAAACTTCTAGTTCTGTGATTTGTTAAAGGTCAAAATGGATATTTCCTCACTATTTATTTTAGCATTTTATTTTGAGATTAGGTTTATTGAATAAAAGGGGGGATGCAAATAATTAAATATTTCATGACTCCATGGTAATATAAGAATTGAACATAATTTTTTAAAAATTATTAATATTTTCTTTGTTCAGAAAGGACTACATTTGTAAATGTATTTAAAGAACCTTTTATGTTTTTGCATCCCTGGACAACCCTTTTGAGGCCAAAAACAATCAATGTTTTAAAATTCCTTTTTTGTTATTGGTTGTCAGTAATGGAATAAGTTTTTAGTATTCTGCCATTTTTGATATGATGTCCCTAAGATCAGTGTTTCTTGCTGAAGGATAAACATTTATTCCTCCATTGCACTTGGAACAATTCAGGCAGTGTTGCTTGGTCACAACAGGCCTCTCAGGGTGTAGTTACTACAAATGAAAACATAAACTCAGTTTTATCCTAAAAGGAAAGAGAAAGAACTGTATTCTACATTTAATATAGAAAAAATCAGAGCCCACAACTCTAAAATAAAGGGCTGTAATCAGGCTAAAACTAAGCGAGATTAAATTTGCTTATGTTATATCCATGTATATTGTACATTTATCACAGTTGGTTCTGAACTGCAATTGAAGCCCCTTTGAGTGTTACATACAGTGGCCACACAGACTCCTGGCAAAACCAAGTCCGATCTAATAGCGATCTATTTGTCAAGAGATTTGTTATATACTATGCACTGTATCCTTGACTCTAATACTGCAGTTTGATTCTCTTTCATTAGACAAATGGAGATGCTTACTTGAATTGAATTCTCTGTCTCTTCATCCTTTGCGATGCTTTTTCTCTTGTTTTTTGTTCTTTGTTCTTTCTTTTTCCTTTTTTGGTCTGTTTTTAAACTAATCTAACCACTGTGTTTTGACTTCATCAGATGACCAGACTGCCCATAATATTTACACTATGATGCCACTGACAAACTCACCAAAGAGTTAACTTTTATGTTTTTCAGCATACGTGTTCACAATTCAAGCAGTTTAATTTTATTTGTACACAATACATATTTTCCCCTGCAGCTCGGTTTTCTTTATTTTCAAGCTACAAAAAAGCCAATTCTAGGCACTCTGATATCATGCAGAGATATGAACCTGAACAATCCAACTTTTAAACCCCATATTTCTTTTTGATCTTGAAATCTTTCACTTAAAATTTGTTAACCATTGATCTGCATACTGTTCTTATTCAAAAAAACGTTTTATATTTTATTTATTCTTTCACATTGCTGCTATTATACAGGGTGACTCATCTACAATTGTATGTAGAAAATTCTAAATGATCCATTATTGAATGATGTGAATATTTATTTGATTGAATATGATCGATTCTCTTTGACGTCATCTAAACATCAGGTTATTACATTTAAACATCATCATTTATTTCTGGCCCAGATGCAAAAAAAAAAAAAAAAGAGCGAATTAAAGACTTATTTCGTTGTCAAAGGCATTTTCACTTCTGGGCCAAAATTGCACAAGTTATTAAAAATCTTTTGTTGATGTCTGGGCCTTGGTCTCATTTAGGTATTTTATGTTTGATTCAATCTGCAAAGTCATAAATTAATTTGACATGTCTTACCAGATGCTTCTCCAGAACCAGTTTGAAACTTCTGCTACAAATTTTGTGCCATCATAGCATTTTTGCGTGTGAAAATACAGGCTATTCCTTTTTTTATTTTTTTTATTTACATTGGCTAAATGTTGTAAATATTACTTTTCTAAACAACACTTGGTTGCTCAAACATCCAGGCTGTTGAACAGAGATATTGATACCTCTTGTCAGGGTTTTGATATATTAGCACAGATTTAAACACCAGCTTTCAAAAATGCAGTACACCTTACAAACAATTATTTTCACTCAACCACACAATTCATCCCTGAATGAAATCATGATTTCATCTCATTGTCATTTTATCAACTTGCACACCCAGTGTGTAATCCTACTTGACTGAAATTGATGCAAATACAACATTGTTTTTACTGAAATGTGTGGGATTCCAAAGAGTAAGATATTGTCATTGTTTAATGTGCAATCAATTAGTTGGTTCCCACACTACTGTCTGTGATTATAGCAAATACTGATTTAACTACAATATGTGACCTATTTATGTTGACATTAGAAAGAAATCAAGTCTGGAACATTGTCTTGTTGTGAAGAGGAGTGGCGTTGGAAGGGATTTCAAAAAAGTGGTGTTCTGCATGATGTATCATAAGCCTAAATGTTCATTATTGATGCCTTTGAGTGTTGGTGCTTGCAAAAAGGGTGCAAAATGCAAAGAAAGCCAAACCATACTAAAACTGGAAAAGACTGCATGCTTTTGTTGTTGGACCAAATAAAACTACAGTTGCAAGGCTTTAAAACAGCATTTCTGTGACATTGCAATGAGCATTAATAACACTTTATCTTAAAATGTTATTCTTAATAAATCCATGACAACTGTATCATCATGTAAATGTGTAAACAATCACACAACGTTGCATATAACAAAGTGGTTGACAGCTGAATAAAAAAGTTTTTGTACCCACGTTTATTGCCTCAATTCAACACATGGCCACCTGAGTGCTGTAGAAACATTTTCTAGCATGAGAGAAAAGAAGTCTGTAAATCCCTATCTTTTAAGAACTTTATTGCAAACTGGACAGAATACACAATGGTTTAGATTAGAACAAAGACAACATGAAAGAATGCGGCAACACTAACAGGTTCATGGGGGTCATAGTGTACTTTTAGTCAACTGCATTAGGCCCAGTAGCAAAAAAGGAAAAATAGTGAGTTGCAGGGTCATCATTATGCGACCGGTGTGTGACGTCACACCGCGACCTGCAGTACGCATGCGATTTCTTATTGGTCGTTGAAGCTAAAGCGTTTCATTGAAGGAAGTGTGTTCGTGCGGTAATTTAGATATATATATATCTTTACTGTGCAGTTATGTCCACGAGTGACTTTTATTTGAGGTACTATGTGGGCCATAAAGGTAAATTCGGCCACGAATTTCTGGAATTTGAATTCAGACCGGACGGTAAGCGAGGCGCCAACTTTAGCTTGCTAAATGCTAACAGCCTTTCTATTGAAATCTGTGCTTGCTTTCATACAGGCCGAAAACATTTTTTTTCATCTGTTTAAGCTTTTGTTACTTGTTAATTTGTTTAGTCATGACAATTTAGTGGGTTTGTTTATGTAGATCAACTAATTAACATGTTAAACAACGTTTTAAGTTCTTAACTGCCAGTCTGATATCTTGAGTTTAATTAGTTTAACTTGATAAATGTTTCTGGTGAGAAATTGTTGTTTTTATGAAAGAATATTTCAAAGTGACTTAAAAACTGTCATAAGTAGCTTTCATGTAATATGAATAGATCGTTCTGTTTTTATTCAGGAAAACTGAGATATGCAAACAACAGTAACTACAAGAACGATGTCATGATCCGAAAAGAGGTAAAGTTAGCTGCATGATGACGTAACACATACAATATTTTGTAATTTGAAGCATTTTGAAACTTACAAGATTTTCCCTCTTTCAGGCTTATGTACATAAAAGTGTGATGGAAGAGCTGAAGAGAATCATTGACGACAGTGAGATCACAAAAGAAGATGATGCCTTGTGGCCCCCTCCAGACAGAGTCGGCCGACAGGTTTGTAGGAACATATTTTGCAATTCCTTTACTCTTGCTCTGGTGACCATGTGAGGTGTAATGCTCAGCATCCTAATTGATCTTCTTTGTGCTTCATAGGAACTGGAGATTGTCATCGGGGATGAACACATTTCGTTCACAACCTCCAAAATTGGATCTTTAATTGATGTCAATCAATCCAAGTAAGTCTGTTTCATGGATGGACTCTTCAGTTCATAAACAATCCCCTCTTGATCTCATCTGCACTACTGTCTTGGCATTGCAGTAACACAGATGATTTATTGTAGTGTACTGATCAATTCCTCTTCATTTATTTAGTATTTATTGCATTTATATTGTGTTCCCTTTCATATTCACAAGCAATGCCCCACTCTGTAGTTTTACTGTTTGTAATATGTATTACAAGAGAGTAACATTTGCAATCTTGCTCTTCAGGGATCCGGAGGGACTCAGAGTCTTCTACTACCTGGTCCAGGACCTCAAATGCCTCGTATTCAGTCTCATCGGCCTCCACTTCAAAATCAAGCCCATCTAACTGCTTAGTTGCTTTTATTCTGGATGAAAGTAATGTTTTAGTTTATTGTTTGATTTTGAGCTATTTTCAACATTTGTATATTGCTTTGTTTTGCTGGTTTTTTTTTTAAATAAAAAATTGTTCAACTGTTGACGTGCTTCATATTTCTTAAATGTTCAAGTGTAAGAGCTTCAAAATAGAAGAAATGTACACTTCTGGTCCTTTGTGCTGGCCAAGGCAGCATGTATTTGATTAAATACAGTAAAAACTGCAATAATTGCATATATTTTAAAATGTAAGATGGCAAATCTGAATTTTCATTACTCCAGTTTTCAGTGTCACATGAGCTTTCAGAGATCATTCTAATATGCTGATTTGATGCTCAGGAAGCAGACGTTATGATCAAGTTAATGTTGAAAACAGTTGTGCTGCATATTTTTTTTGAAGCTGAAACTTTTTCAAAATTCAAAAAATTAGATTTTTTTGTAGATTTCCTTTTTTTGTAACAATGTACAAGTCTGTCACTTTTGATTAATCTAATGCATCCTTGGAGTGAAAATATTTTCAAAAACATTTTACTGACCCCGAACCTTTAACCGCTAGTGTTTGTAATGCACATAAACAGACATATGTGGTGAAACTATTTCATTCTTCATGCTATTTTTATTAAGCTTTATTACAATATTTACAATCACAGTTTTCATTTTTTTTCCATGTTCTTACATTAAGGCACACCTGTCGTCTTTTAGTTATTTGTATGCTACAGTGATTCTGCATTTGATGAAAAGTGTTTTTTAAACATAAGTCAGAATTTTGCTGTCCAAAAAATGAAAGATGATAAATAGTCAGATTACCATTGAACATGGGGGAAATACACAGCAAAATGTATAAAAAGAATAGATTTTAGGATAAATTGCCTACACCCCACAACCAATAATTCATTCCCTGGATCAATCACTCTAGTACGAGTTTAGAATCAAGAAGTCAAGTTTGTGCAAAGCTTATTAGTTCTACCTTAAACCTAGTACAGACCTAATAAAATTGAGACCTTATCTAATAAAACTAAAACATAAATGCACTACATTCAGACTAGCCCATTGGGACTATAAACTTTAATAAACTTCAAAATATTAAATGCACTTTCAATGAATGGATTTTCCATCAAGGACTGTAAAAATGTCTTCCAAGGACTTGTGAACGCACTTAAGGAACTCATGAACATTTCTGGCAGGGTAGCTGGACACATTGCACCCGATCCATTCATCATGGACACCATAGCCCACTCCAAAACCATCAGGCACCACAGGAGCAAACCCGCCCAGACTGACCGCTGGGCTGGTGAGAGTACTGGTGGACAGGATGTTGTGGTTTATGGCGGCATATGCAGGATCCTGGTACAGACTGGGCAGTGCCATTCCTTTCAAATTAGCCAGATAGCGCATGGCGAAAAGATGGCGATCAAACCCTTGCCCTAGATGAAAATACACAAAGAAGAAACAATGACAATGATGAAATAAGCTGAGAATGACCTGATGCTCTATCCCTTTTACTCACTATCATATTGTTCCAATCCTGTGTGACTGTGGAATACAAAAGAAGATATTTTTTTTTTTTAAATTGTCCATACAATGGAAATCAATGGGGTCTAATGTTGTTTTGAATCACAATAACTTTCATTATATGGACAAAAAAAAATCTTCTTTTGTGTTCCAGAGAACAGGTTTGCAATGACAAGATAGCGAGTAAATGACATTTCATTTCCATCCCTTTAACTTGCTCAATACTGGTAAAAATAATCATCTTGCTAACAAATAAATCAGTTTTTGTCTCCTAAAAATCATAAGACACCACGTGAACTGAAAGGTTGTTGAATTGCTGCCCTCACCCATGGCCGCCTCTTTAGTGAGTTGTCCGTGGTATTTGGAGCATTCACTCAACAGCCCCTGCAACTGCTCCACTGTGTGCTGTCCGGGCTGCTGGACGAAGGCCTTGGCACAGCGCTTTGTGTGGATGCTAGCGGGACGGATGGTTTCTGTGCGGCCGTGTTTAAAAGCAGCGGTGCTACAGGACTCGTATGTGGCGACAGTCTGGCCATACTGGCGTAGGAAGCCCATCTGGAAAGCAAGCTGGGAGATGGCATCCGGACTCAGCTTCTTCTTCTTAAGTTGCTCCTTTCCGCCTTTCTTGAACTCCATGGCGTCGATGGTGAGCTTTGACACGGCGGCGTGGAAGTTCTCCTTGGCTTTTGTGATTCCAGCTTTTAACTCTTCATCAAGTTTGAACCCTATTCGGCGAACTGCAGAGGCAGAGTCCACGGATGCGGGTTGGGAGCCAGGGCCAACCAGTGGCTTTTCCGTGGTGTCCTTGAAGACTTCATTCTGGAAGCGGAGAACGGCGACGCCATCACCCCAAGAGTGCTCAAAATTGATGGCCGCCTGTCCGTCCTTAGCCAAAATGATACTGAAGGACTTGTCATACCAGCGGTTGCAGCCGTCTCCATGAAGCATGTTGTGAGAGATGTGAATATGGTCCCTCATCACCTCCTCATCCAGGCAGAGGCAAAACAAAGCGGTGTCTACTAACTGCAGAGCTTCGCCATTTCCAGCATCCAGCAGTTTTTGTCTTAAGCCTGCCCAGGTGTCTCTATTCTCGCTGGTTAGAACACCCAATGGGAATGAAGGAGCTTCTGTGGGGTCTGTCAAGATGTATTTCAGGTGAGCATGAACCTCAGCAGGCTTTATCAGGTTGCCGTCCCGATCCAGCGCATCAAACACATACAGGTTGCCTCGTCTTATGACGAGCAAGTGGCGGCCCTTGTCGTCTGTGAGGAGCTCATCGCGCTTGTATTTGGGTATACGTGTGGAGTTGAAGAGGCGGAAGTACTGGGACATATCCAGAGGATAGGCGTTCACCATGTAGGCTCCAAACCAAGAGATGGAGGAGGGAACCCATCGGATCAGCCTCTTGAAACTATCTGTGTCACTTTTGGCGGGGTTAAGGTGAAACACCTCCGGCTCGAGCAAACCAGCACGAAGGGTCTTCATGAACCGGACGGCTGAGCACACCATGTTGGTGGCCCGCACAAGCTGGTCGTTGTACTCGGGTTTG